GCAATAAGTATGCACTCTTTACTACGTTATTTATTTATTACTATTGGTATTTATATCAAGTTTGGTTATCATCAATTTTTTATAGGACTCATTTGAAGGTCGCAAATCACCGAACGCTACCACCAAAACATGTTCTTTCTGCCTTTGTTAATTATACAGTTAATTTAACTGATGATTTTGTCTGCATTAGTTGATTCAACCACGCTTGATGTATCTGAGTAAGCGAAATTTAATGACATCACTAGGTTCATCCCTTCTCCGATCAGATGAAAAGGGAAATACGAGAGAGAATAAATAGGAGAGAGGCTCTCTCGTTTTCACCGTGGCACTTAATGTTGGAAATTGAAAACTTGACCTTGGCAAAAGGTAGTTTAACCACGAGTAAATCTGGATCAAAAAGGTGGTTTAACTTTCTGTGACGCAAATCTCGACTTGAAATCGGCGCTTTTTTAAACCTGGTCTGAACGTGGTTTAACTCGGTTTGTCAAGTACATTCGGATTGCGTCGCTTGTTGTGTTGTCTGTTGTTCCTTACCGTACAATCTATATTGTCTTCTGCAGCGACTGAAGGAGGAGCAGGGAGCTCTATACAGATGTCCTGACTTCGGGGGTGCCACATTTTGCCTTTGCGGCGGGGGATTCCCATCAGATCCCAGTACTCTATATTGGTAATCTTGGCTCGGCGGTGTGGCGCATCGTGCTAAGCGTTAGGAATACGCTCGCCACCGCATCTCTGATTACCCGGTATTCTTGGGTTCGCAGGTTCGAATCCCATGTGGGGATGATCATGTGCGAGAGGATTGCTGGACTCCTCGCCGCCGTAGGGTGGTTCACGTAAACGCTGGTCGGTTACGGCTTCCTCTACCACCAAGTCCATGCTTCCAAAAAACAAATAACTGGCTAACTAATCCCATACCCAATCTGGACTGGTAACCGGACGAGAGGCCGTGTTTCGCCATATGATTAAGCCGTCTTATCGGCTTTCCTCTCCCTCGGGATAACTTCGTAAACCCTATCCTATCCTACTCCATGACAACCTCGCTCGCTCAAAAAGCTGTTTGCGGATTGTTTCGACATGGGCTGTGTATCACCACTGAGTAGCGCTATTGACCCGTACCGTTTGAACTTTTCTCGCTGTTGGTGTTTGGTTCCTCGCGACTTCCCCTCTCAGTCAAATTGTAAATTATCACGTTCTCGTAATTTGTACTTGTGATATTTCTTACTGGTTGAAAAAAATAAACTTGACTTGACTTCTCTCCGAGGCTGACATTCTATCTATTTGTATGACTTGCTGCTTAGTCTGCTACTACTATGATGTTTCAATTTTGAAGTGCTTGACTCTTACAATAAAGTAATGTTGTAATGGAAACTGGGTGCTTGTTTATAAAGTAATACGAGAGGATTGCTGGACTCCTTGTCGCCGTAGGGAGATTCATATAACCGCTGGTCGATTACGGCTTCCTCCACCAAGTCGATGAATCTGAAACATATGACTGGTTAACTAATCCCATACCCGACATGGACTGTAAACTGGACGAGAGGCCGTGGTTCGCCATACGTTTAGACCGTCTTATCTTTTTGTCTTCCCTGAAATAAATATGTAAAATCCTATCTTATCTACTTTTCTTTTTTCCACAGAAATAAACCATAAATCTAAACTTCACTGCCTGGCTATCTTTGTTTACTTGCAAATCTGGATAGCGAGTTCAAAACAATTAACGCTATCAGTGTTTATGACGTTACAGTAATTGAGTTATCTTCGACAGTACTTGAATTGTGACATCATCAAAGAGAGGTTGATTACAATCGGAAGTTGTCATCAGACTAAATGCAGGGAGAAATGAGTTCCGTTCTTTATTCACGTTGTACGATTATGACAACTAAATAATGCAGAGTTACCGAATGAATATAAAAGTGGTCCCATTCCCATAAAAGTGGTATTGCAGTACAGGCAATGTATTGGTTACAGATATGATTATAGTTTATTCCTTCCTTGTCGGCTATCAACATGCATGAGTGAGCGAGTGAGCATTTTTACTCCCAATCAAAAGGGTTCCTAGAGGGGTGGGAGCAGAGTGGGAGAAAGCTGGAGGGATGAGTTCGTTGCTTAGTTTTATGATTTGAATAAAAATAATAATGCACATATTTCACTCTTATTTGATCTCTTATTTATTATTATTCTCACATAGGACAACATCTATCATTGGTTTATCCCCAAAATTATTTTTGAAGTTAGGTATGAGGGGCATCATTATCAGAAACTCGCCCCGGACAGCAGAAAAGTTTGACACGCACTCGTTCCTAATGAATCTCTGCTTGTGCATTTGTATCAGTTGTGTTTTCGAATTCAGTTCTCTGTTCATTACTTATTTAACTAAACTGCATACCTAACGCCCATTTAATACATCCAAGTCATTAAAGTAATTTTAATTTACCAACGAACTTAATCGTTAAGTAACAATGTGTTTATTTTTATTATTATAAATGTATTTTAGGGCTCCGTAAATAATAGCCAACCTTCACGGGCCCCATAACACAAAAAGCTTGAGATCCCATACTGTGCACTTGTTTTGGTGGGCTTTTGAGAAATGTCAAATCGCTATTCACAAATTTGTTGCACAACGATAAGTTATATCTTTCCGATAGTGACGTTTCGTTACGCTCCATTGACTCAGGGCAATTAAAATTAATGACAATTTCACGGGTCATTTCAGTTTATTGTTTCGTCAAAACATAATTACTATTGTTGTGTGATATCATAAAACGAAAAAGCCAGAAGCGACAATCGCAAGTCTTTGCTAAATAGGTACTTCGTTGTAAGGATGTGATGTCAGGATATTTTAGTTTGCATGAAATTTCACGGTTTTCGGTGATTTTACCAGTTATTTGCACGTTTTTGGCGGTTTTTATGTGCTTCTGCAAGGTTTTTGGTTCTCGTCTTTTTAATTTTTAAAAGATTTGGGATGTAGGGGCTTCTACCTAACAGTGCTCACCAGAAAAATACCCCAGCGTGAAGTAAAGAAAAACGGTAGGGATATAAAATTCATCAAAAATAGAAAAAAGAGACAGAAAATGCTGGTTTAGTTAGTGAAAAAATAAATTAGGGTTGCAATATAAATACAGAAAATCGCTTTTTTACGTTTCAATCCTCAACTTCCACCCTGACTGCCCCTGTTAAGCAATATCGACGAAGCCAGGCCATTTTATCAGTCAGCTCTATCGCTCTAATCCAATGATTCCCAACCGGTGGGTACATTCCCATCTTGTGGAAATTGGGGGGTTAATGTGAAATAAACGAACTACGAACTTGTAAAAAATTACGAACACAATGAAGGAATATTATGAGGCAATGTAAGATGATAAAAACACCAAGCAAAGAAAGAGACCCGTACTTGAAATTTTGAGGAAATTTCTTTCAACGTGTTGTCGCGCAGAAACATATAATTATGGAAGCGTAACGCTGCGGTTAATCAGAGTAGTGCATAGCAACAACTTTTTTTATACTCACAATCCTACTCAAGCGCTGTGGCTTTGAAAGAAAAATGCAAACTGACCGTGGGTCATGATTTCTATACCCAATTGAACAAAGTCATGCTAATTTTTGTTGGAGGTTGCTTCAGTGTGTGGGAAATGAAACCCCTTGATAAATCGGAAATGGGTAATTCAGAAGAAAGAGTTGGGAACCAGTGCTCTAATCAACGATTTTAAGATCAGTTAATACTGATATGTTTTAACTTTGCGATTTTTTCAAGCTCAACCCAAGCGACAAAGCCCTTGATCACTGCTGATTCTTATCACCTTATCTAATATTCTTATCTTTACATGAAGTGTTTCCCACTTTGCCTCGCCTTGCGGTTGAAGTTTGGTTGAATGTTGCTTACTTCCGCCGTCGAACATAGCATGTTCTTGTATTGAAATCGTTCATATGGACTAAATCTGTGTATTCCATTAGCTCTTTAAAGATATAAGTCGATTTGGGGTCTAATGTTATTTCGTACCGCAACGATCCCGATATGGGAGAGATCGCTGCCGTGAGTGAGCTCTTCATCGTCGGCCATTTCCGACCACCGTAGCTATACTTTGGCAAGCTCTGCGAGGTGATCGTGATGTCGTAGTGACGTAATTTTTGGATGACGCAGTTAGGTGGTTTTTACGATTGACATGTGTAAAATCGTTATGCTACTCCCACTAGAAGTACAAAACTACACGAGACCCATCGATTTCGCTGTAGCGTAAAATACATCTTTAAGAACAGTCCTATAAACTCTCTGATCCTACCAATGGTCGCCTGCAACTCTTCCATTAGTATTCTTTCCACTTTAAGTTGAGGACTGGAAACCTTTATCAAGAGTATAGCAGCCATGGGCGCCGTGTGGACGCAAGAAAGGCCAAAAATGTTCCAATAAATGATTTTAACATAGAATTAATTGAAGCTTGTAGTTTTTACTTAAAAGATAACGTATAAGTATCTCATTACAACAGCAGTTGTTAAAAATTGTCTGTCAACAATCAATGGGGTGCATTTTTAAAATATGCCATGGGCGGTATTTTGCGGAGCAAACTTGTATATATTAACAGTACGAAGTACCGTGTTACCCCGAAAATAAGGGTCTTATTTAAATGTTCTTTCGAAAAATAACACTATGGCTTATTTTGGGGGGATATCTTATTTATTTATCCAGAACAAAATTACAAAGTAGAGAATTACGAGATTTTCTAATATACAAAATATAAAAACCGATATCTTTTACCTATAAATAACACTTTCCTCTCTCACACGTTTTAGATTAATCATATAAAACGGCTAGGAAAGTCCTATTTCAAATGGAAGGCTTATATTAAAATCATTCTTCAGGCTAGGTCTTATTTTCGTGAAAACACGATACACAGCCATTCCAGTTAAATAACTGATTTTGGTTGTTTATATAAGCTGTGGCTCGGTATTTACGCAACAACTCAAGAAAGCGTCTATTTTTAAATTTATATCATTATTTCAATAATTTTTGCAACAGAAATTTCAATCTAAATATTTGAAAATATACGAAGAATCCGTCACGTTCTACTATTTCAACCATTGTGTGACGTCACATACGTGATCGGATCAGCTGCTTCATCATTATGACGAAAGAACACATGAAATTGGACATCACTGTAATATCGCCCGTGATAAAAACAGGTTAGACATTTATTTATATTTTGACGAGGTGTTTTTATATTTTTACTCCGATCAGATTATCGTGCTTTCTCTCATAATTAAGCTATGTACAGGTTGACATTAGCATTTAAAAGATAAACAAGGTTCTACCTAAAGCATGCCGTTATCAGAAGCGCAATGTGAAACCCACCCGTTAGCTTTCGTCTTTGTCAACGCCCCCCCCCCCCCCCACAAAAAAAAATTAGATAATTATATAACAAAAAATATTCATTTAAATACGATTTTGCGGCATTCGCAGTACGTCATAGATTTATACGTCTTTTCCAACACAATTTTACTCTATTCTTTAACGATTAACTGAAAATTGGGCATTCGATTGACTTCTATCAATTATCTTGCGGGGGATCTGGTTATCAGAGCCCTCTTGACGCCATGATGTAGGATCATCTAAATTTATTATCCTAGATTTATTTCGTAAAATATCTTATTTTGTTTGCCGCTTATATTATACTACGCGTAGATTTAAATTGCCTTCAAAAATCGACATTCGGGGTTGCGCTTTTTACTCCGATAAGACTGTATTATAAACAAATGAGTTTTTAATCCTCAGCTGCTGTCAATGTCTGATCTGTTTATGAAGATCGAATAGCGCAAAGTCTCTGACTTAAAGTTTGAGTGGCGTTATCGATGCTGTCAAAAATATCGTTTACTGTTAATATGATTTCATAGTCATTGTATTTGATGTTGAAGTTTGGAGACACGATTTCGAGGTTCGACCTTTCAATACATAGATGGATATGAGCGCGAACCCGAGCTTTACAACATAGCCTGAACAAGCTTGTTACACACCAAGCTATGAATACCGTTTGCATTTTGGTGTTCTCTCTTTTTATACCAATTTACCAAAGCAAGGATCCGCGCTCTCAAACTAATCTTTCCATGAAGTGGAAAGAATACTAGTAGGATAGTTGCAATGCAAGCACGCGGTGATCTTCAATAAGACATATAGGTATATACGTACAGGGTGGCCCAAAAGTAGGTATACAGTTATTAAACTATTTATATGCTTTGAAGCTACTTGCAGTTCACTTTATGTTACTTGTTAAGTACCACAAAAATTGATTATTTTTTTAGATAATAAATCTAGTGTGAATTTTACATTAGTTTTCTAGCTGCTTGAAAGGTAATACATTTTTTAAATCTTTATTTTATTTGAGGGTTAATGGCGAATAATTTGAATGAAGAGCAAAGAAAATGGATATTTATAGACAGATCAAAGAATAGATCTTTTCAACAAAGCCTTGCTATTAATGCAAAAGTATGATATTTCAGAAAACACCACATTTTTAAATAACAAATCAGTAATTACCCAATTAGTGTTTCCAGCGCAATCTGCATACTCAACTCAACCGAAACTGCATAATTACTAATTTTCGTTTTTTGAGCTTTGACGGGGGTGGGGACTTCGTACAAAAGATCCAGAGATGCCAGTAGATTCCCACGATACTTGAATCAAATTAAATTAATACTGCCAGGGAAACAGCTCAGTGAGGATCCCACAAAGTGGAGGTCTTTAAGAGAGAAAATTTTTAGCACATAGCTGTGACTTCCTTTCTAGGCAAGTGCGTGTGTTACTTATTTCAAGCCATTTTTGACATTCATTGCCGACACCTTGAGTGTTAGGGCAAAGTCAGGATCGGATCACGCCTCTCAAGAGTCCTAAGCACCGTAAAATAATTATAATGAAACTGGTGTTTCATGTCATCTGCAATTGAATAAGCAAGTTTTAGTGTTCATTGCTACTTGCGGGCCAAGGGATAATTAATTTGCATTTTTTTGTTTTTGAGAAAAGTTCTCACACGGTACTTACAGACATTGATAGGGATATTGATACTTCAGAACTTTATTTCAAACGGGCCAATATTGAGTTCTGTGTCGTCTGACCAACCCGAATTGTTTTATAACCGAGGCACCATTGAAAAAACGGCAATTGGAATTTTTGGTGGCACCTTTTCATTAGTGCCCTAAGCACGTGCTTATTTTGCCATTGTGAACATTTATTGTCGTCATCTTCGAATGTCTTGGGGCAAAGTACCTTAGCTTAGACATTGAGCACATTGGGCTATATTAGGAACACTTCAATAATAAAAACATTTTTTTGTATTTGATCGCCATCCTGTCGGTCTTGTAGTAATACGTTAGTATCAGCATATTTTCGTACTGTCCTTTTATTGTAGATAAGTTATATGTATTGGCTTATTGCCTTTCTCTGCACCATTTTTCTGGAAATTTATCACAACTTACCATATCTAACTTAACGATAGATCAGAATTACAAAATAGTACCGGCAGTTCTGCATAGCTTGGCTCACCATACGTTCCCATTTAGCCGGTCAATTTAACATACAAAAATGTGAGGTTTGAAAAAAACAACTTAAAATATGGATGAAAATATGTCAATTCAACTGGCATTTTTAGGTACGACATATAGATCTTAGTACAAAGCCATCGCCAAGAAACACTCCCCGCCACGTTTTAAAGTAACAAATTATTATTCATTCAGTCGGGGTTAGGAATATTTAAAAATATGAATTTCCGGGGCAAGCTACATTCCTAACCCAAGCCATGACTGGTTGATTACTAGTTTTCTTATTTTGAACGTTGACGTCGAGTGTTTTTGGCAGTGGCTTTACGTAAAACATCCTATGTCTTACCTAAAAATGCCAGTTAAATTAACATATTTTCATCCGTATTTCAAGTTGTTTTTCAACCCCTGCAAAAGCGCTACGTCATTCAACGTTCTGCAAAATCATGATGAACGATCAACGGCTGTTTGCTCTATGACGCAACAAATACCCTCAAGGTGAATGTGACGTTTCTCCAAGTTTGCTTCGTTCGCAAATATTATCAGTGTGCCGGCAAGCAGAGAGGGGCGCTTTTACTTTTACCTGTACTTTGGAAAGTTGATAGTGATTGTAGCGAAACATAACAGGAGTGCAATCTTCAGCGAATAGTTAGATTGGAGATTTTTTATCTACATCAAATTATGGAAAAAAAAGATTTATCATATATGCACATCCAATGCGATATTTGTGCATAAATGATCACGGCGCCTCTGAATGTGAGATATAGCCACCCGCCTATCGTGTTTTCCCGAAACTAAGACCGGGTCTTATTTCAACTTTCTTTTCAAAAAATAACACTAGGGCTTATTTTGGGGGATGTCTTTTATTTTTATTTATCAAAAACAAATATAAAGTAGAGCATTACGATATTTTTTATTATACAAAATATGAAAACCGATATCCATTTACATATAAATAACGAAAAAAAAAATTCGCGCTATCGACTAGTTCTTATTTTAATGGGAGGGCTTATATTAAAATCATTTTTAAAGAGAGAGAGAGAGCTTTATTTTTCGTCAACCAGGAAAAATACTGAAATAGCAACAATAAAAATATATACAATACCATATGTAAAGTTTTTCGGTATAGACTGGGATGAGCGATACGACCATACGGTCATCAAGGTCAGCTCCCCTTATATTCAAGCTAGGTCTTATTTTCGTGGAGACACGGGACTATCTCAGTGTTAGTTAGCTAATATGGCCCTTTTATGACAAGTTCTATACGTGGACAGATAGGTAATTAATAATTTTTTTAGGAAATTCATTATTATTTCGGGTCGCACCTGTACGTACCGCGTTTTCTCAAAAATAAGACAGGGTCCTATTTCAATTTTCTTTTAAAAAATAACATTAGGGCTTATTTTGGGGGATGAAATTTATTTTCATTTATCGCGTAATTGAATCTTTTCCTCTATTACACGTTTTAGATTAATCATTTCTTGCTATCGACTAGGTCAAAAAGTTCCCGCCATCAACTTGGTCTTATCTTTAGGGAGGGTTTGTATCAAAATCATTTTAAAATTCATGCTAGGTCTTATTTTCGGGGAAGCACGGTACCTCCCGTGGCACAGCTTAGGAACCACTGGTTTACGGGAAGTATATTTTCTAACAAATAAAAGGTAGCTCTTAAAGCAGCAATGTTAGTGATATGCAATTAACCCGAATCATTGCGAATGAAGTAATTTCCATACGACTGTAATGTTTGAAACCGATTTGAGATGTTTTCCGCTATTTGACGAAATTTCAATTTTTTCGTCACTGTGAACTTAAGGTTTATTGTTACGTAAAAGAGACGGTGGTGATCTAATGCAGTGTCCCCCAGCCTATGGGTCGCGACCCAAAATTGGGCCGCCTGAGAAATCGTTTGTTTTTTCAGCAATAATCTAAAAGTTACCTCTTTTATTTTCGAGTAAATTTGTTGTTTATTCCATATTTGTATTGAAGTGTTGCTCAATAGTAATTGTATATGTAGGAAGCATCACAGCATAAAAACTTGGCATCTGCTGGTATTAGTCAGTCAGTTTCTTTTGTGACTATTTAAGGCAGGGGTGTGCAACCTGCGTCCCGCGGGCCAAATGCGGCCCACAAGGACAAATTTTACGGCCCGCGGAAAAGTGACAATGCGGCCCACGCAACAAGTTTTTATCTTACTTTATTCTGATGTGCGAGTGATTCCAATATCTTTGCGCTGCAAAGCCTTTACCTGTGCTCGTGCGAAGCGAACAACGCTTGTCACAAGATCAATTAACTACCGTGAACAACGCTTGTCACAAGATCAATTAACTACCGTTAACTACTTTTTATGCCTGTAACTACTAGAAAACTTATGTAAATTAAGTTGCGGCCCGCGGTTTCACCCAGTTATTTGAATCTGGCCCTCCTGCTTTGAAGGTTGCACACCCCTGATTAAAGGTATAAGCACTACATACCTCCTAGTATTTGAGCATATTATTCTTGGGTCGCGAGATTTTACAAAATTTATTTTTTGTCAAAATGTGGGTTGCTTGAAAAAAAAGGTTGGGAAGCACTGATTTCCTTGTTTGTGTCCGCACAAATAACTAATCATTAACAAGTCGACACATACGTAACAATTGCAATTTGTGCAGCCGCTCAGACACTTCTTTCGCTCAGACAGATATTCAAGCATGATTGTAAAATGTAAATATTGCCTCGATTTCATGGTTTTGCGTGGTATCAAATAACTTGATCGTCATTTTGTCTTCTGGGGAGTTTAATTTAGTTGCAGTGTTCAACAATTAGTCCCGGGAAAAGCTATATATTTGAGCATTGCGGCTCTTTTTTTAATTAGGGTCGTTCGACCTTCGACCCATCGTTATCACTTTTATTGTCATTCACTGCTATATTTGTATTTGTAAATGAGTCAGTGTACAGTATCTCACTTAGCAATCAGGCAGCTTGTTGCAAGAAGATGTCTGATAATTAATTGGTAAGGAGATATTCGGGAAGGCGCTCGAAAAAGGGAAAGAATACGTTAAACGAAAAAAGACGATACATAGGCCCTATATAAAATGAAAAACAATCTTTCTGTTAAATTATTGAATGCTAGACTGTTAAAGAGATTTATTATTTTGTCGTCCAGAATAAAATAGTCATCTCGAACAAACAGGAGAGCGATGCTCAAATATATGGACACGCCGATCACAACAAAGTAGTAGCCTACCTTATATTATATATGCTGTACCTTACCTAGTCATTGTACGGACCGGTCAAAATATTTCCGACTTTGGCTTACGAGAGAGGTTGCAGAACCACTACAAATATTATCAATTAATTCGAAGAGGCCATCACACAGAATTTCGAAGTAAGTGAAAAACGAATCACAGAAAAGTAATAGACTCCTAGCGTAAACTACAATCAATCAATCTTCAGCCACTGAAGATTTCAAATGAATTGGTTCACTTAGATTGTAGTTAAATAAAAAACGATGTTTGCAAAAGAAGAAAAAAAAGCAAGGAATAGGCTACCAACAACACGATGATCAACAACAACATAATGACAAAATGATCGCCAAAATATCAGATCTCATAGGATTCACATAAAATTTATTAAAAGAAATAATCTACTAGCAAAAAAGAGAAATTGATTTTTTTTTCAATAATAACAAGAAGAAAAACACCAACCAGAAGGCAATGCTTAAATTTATGGACACGAAAGGGTTGCCTCGATAGTGATATGGCAAATTCTTAGGATTTTCATATTTATCCCAGGGGAGAGGCAAACCGATAAGAAGGCTTAATCATAGGGCGAACCACAGCCTCTGGTCTGATCATCAGTCCAAATCGGGTATGAGATTAGTTAGCCAGTTAGTTATTTGTTTTCGGATTCATAGACTTGATGGTGCAGGAAGCTGTGATCGACTAAAATCAGTCAACGACGCGCCATCCGTCGAATTGAATATTTTAAACTCGAAATTCAGTATTTTGATGGAGTGGGATTGAGATGACCAGTCACGACCCGGTATCCAAACAGCTGATTTTACGTCATAAACAACGCAAATCAAAACAATCACAAATCACTGAAGTGGAACGTTGGGAGAACACGTGGGTTGTTTTGTCACCTTGATTTACAACTGTTTGGAAAGTGGGCTTGCCAGTTTATTTAGGTTTTTGATTGCTGGGCATTGAGGCAGGTTATTAAGTCTGCAGATTTATAAGGTATACCTGTCTGCTCACTTCTCAGTTAGGTTAGGTTTGCTGTTTTGTGTCGAAATGGAGGGCCAGGCTGTCTCGTAAAGACGGGTTTGCACTCGCTGTTACGGTATTGACTGGGGCTATTCTTGGAATCATGCGTAGTATAAGTACCGGTATAAGTTTATTTCGACTCCATAATCAGCATAACAATACATTTGACAGATAAAAAAAAAAAATAATTAAAAACTGATTATGAAATCAGGGGAGCCAACAAAACCTTAGATAAGGTTTATAACGTACAAAATATAAGATGGAAGGTTTTGCCAAGAGGAAGTGGTACGTGTTTACTCACCTAAAATTATTAAGTTATTTCACACACGCTCACATGCACCCACCAGCCACACACACACACAACCACTGAGAAGTTATTTAAGTAAGAATAAAACGCGATAATGTTAGGGTATACTACCGGGTATACAATAAACAAAAAAAAAAAAATAAATACTAGAAAAGAAAATTATCTGCCACACCGTATTGATATTTTTGTAATGGTTGCCATTGCCAAATTGATCGATTTTCTAATCGTTAATTAAAATATAAAAAGAAGATTCTATTGAAAACATATTGCCAAGCTGATTATAGCAACTGTGTCTTACTGTACCATACTAACTTAACCTAATAGTATTAGTACGGTAATACTGTAATATAAACAGAATAAAGAAAAAGATCGAAAATTTAGTTGCAATAATGGAAAGATTGAACTTCAGAACTTTGAGATACTGAGATGTGTGTTTTTCTACTTGCTAACTTGCATCTACTTGCTAACCTAAAAATCAATAAATAGCAAAATGACAGCATTTACACTTCATCATTAGCATTGAACTATTCTGACAAGTCACGCTCCATCGATTTTTGACCAAAGTCAAGTAAACAAGACTGTAGAAATCATTATCTAGGACTGTAGGACAGAGAATTACGGTTTGATAGACTCAGATTTTAGAATTATTTATTCAGATATCATTGTACATAAAACATAATACGATTAAACGAAAGAAAAATGAAGAGATTTACTAACAGGCATACCCTAAGAGCAATATTAAAGGGGCAAAGAAGGTAAAGCCAGGGGCATAGCCAGGTCCTCCCGGGGGCCAAAGTACACATGGGTGAACAGCAAGCTGAAAGTATAGTTGGTGGGACTTTTTTACCCACTGCCCTGGGACAATACTAAGTTCTTCATTAGTTTCGCACTGGGTTATTGTATAATATGTAACTCTTGTATGAATGTATAGACTTGGGTGCTCCAGAAGTGTATGCAGCAATATGACGCTAACTAATTTTGTTTGCCTACTTTTCATCAAGTTGTGTAAAGGGACAGAAACCTATGGGCAGGAGGTATATTCACTTGGCTAACACGAACAGTCCCCGAACTCGTAATAAACTAAATCAAGAAAAATTAGAATAAAATTATGGCTGACTCTAACCTGGTACACATTCTTCGGGAGTACCAATACTTGATTGTGGAACAAATCTTGTTTTAACTTTCCAGTTATTTTTATCGTGTTTCAGTAATTATCAACGCTCAAAATCTGAAATATGAGCAAAAAGTATAAAAAACTACCAGTACATATTGTTGAATACCATAATGATGCATTGGAGCATATCTACCGTGCGATTGGTTCAAAATATCTTCCAACTAATGACATCACAATGCTGCATTTCGATGCCCATCCTGACATGATAATACCGGACATATCTGCAGATGACGTTTATGACAAGAAAAAGTTGTTCGATTCATTGTCGATTGAGAACTGGATTACGCCTGCGTTGTTCGCTGGACACATTAGCAGCCTTGTGTGGTTGAAAGCAGAATGGGCGAGGCAAATTTCTGACGGTTTTTATGAATTTGAAATCGGAAAACATTTCGAGAGTTTGAAAATTCGTGCGACTTTTCCAGACGACTATTTTTTGAGTGAATGCCTCTACTCTCCGAAAAACGAACTTATCGATCCGAAAAATGTGAATTTTTATGTCAAAACAATCAAGCCAGACAATTCTGAATATGATAAAACTGATTTTTGTGAAATTTTGGGTAAAAAAACATATATTTTAGACATTGATTTAGATTTTTTTTCAACGAAAAATCCGATAAAAGAAATGCTTTCTTACGAGAATTATTCTAAATTAAAAAAAATTTACGAATTTTCACCCCCCAGTACAAGATCTGAGAAAGACATAAAAAATTGCCTTGAAAATCGTCAAAAACTGTTAAACGAACTCAAAAATATGCTTCTGGATATTGAAAGAGGTGATAATGAAAAATGGACGGAAAAAGACACTTTTTCAACCTTAAAATATATTTATGAAAACGTCAAAAAATCAGATTCTGGCAACGAAATTGACGCTGCATTGTTACATGAGTTTGGTTGCACCTGCGACGACCCAGAGTTACCCCACCATGTGAGCACTGAAGCGGAAATAAATAAGTTAATAAAGTCTGTGGAAATTTGTTTGAAAAATATAGGACGACCTCCGACCTTGGTCACGGTCTCTCGATCGAGCATAGATGAGTATTGCCCGCCACATCAAGTTGATAATATACAGAGTAAAGTTGTCGAATGCTTGAGAGATTTGTTTGGGGAAATTGAGGTTTTCTATCATTACAAAGATTAATAACTGTGAGGTTAGCGCAGGGTTTCCCGAACTTTTTTGGGCTGGTACCCCTGTTTGTGAATTTTAACCCTTTCCATGCGATTTTTATTAAATAATCGTATTTGCTACGCCGATTTTATGCATTTTTACCCCCACAACTAATCGATCGACTAACGAAAAACTAATGATCCTCTGCTGCCCACTGACGGCTCGTTGGAAAGCTTATTTAAAGAGCTTGCAACTGGCGATTGAAAAACAAAGTTTTTTTAAAAGTGGTGGCCTGAGTCACAAACCGGATAGAATAAAGGCATTTTTTTCTTGGGAGTTGAAACTTAAAACCGTTATAAAAAATAGAAATATTCGCTAAATCCGTTACTGTTACCGCTACGTGGTTGGCAAACAATATCATAATATTGCTGTAGCAATTTCGTGATCTAACTCAAAATACTTTGGTAGATGGAAGGGATAATATGTCTTCTATTACCACCCAAAAAACACCGAAATTTGCATAAATTTCAAAAACACTCCCTCGTTCCGCCGCAAATTAAATTCCTGTCGTAAACGAAAGCGAGATTTACCGTCGCTTATGTTAATCTCGAAAAAGACTTCTTATCAATAAACTAAAACCCGGAAAAACTAGACCAACAGTTTGCGACCGATTGCTAAATAAAACAGTGGAGTACATCAACGTACCCGTCGCAATCTAGCGACTTTTGTCGTTGGTACGTATACGTACCCACCGCACGGAAAGGGTTAATGTTGACGGCCCCCCATTCTTACTCAACACAACAACATTAATATGTTGGATGAGGTGGCTTTTCACTGCACAATGTATCAATTCTCGGAACGATTTGTGGCTAGTATTTTGTCATATTGATAAGCGCTGAAAATGCTGCCTCATACATGTAGGTCGTTGTGAAAGGCAATAAAATTTTCATCGCATTTTCTAACAGCAATGGATATTCATCTGCGATGTTCAATCGAAAAGAAGCAATGACTTTTTAATGGAGATCAATTATTAATAATGATCGATCAGACTCTTCATAGTACCTTATTTTTCGTCTAGAATACCAGAAAGATTTCGGCCTTTTTAAAATATATTGTTATATAGCATTGTCTGCTTGTATAAAGCCTTGTTATGAGAGAACAGCATGAATAAGCATTTTATAAAACGAATAGTGCTCTGATTTTTGTGGTCATATTTTGCTTAATCATGTTTTCCATTTTTTTCATTTTCACAGTTGAGTATAAGCATTAATTCAAACTAAAAAATGCGTCGTAACCGTAACATAAAACCAACTACTAAGCCAGTTCTTTATCCAGATGCTTCAGTGAATGTCACACGACCTGCCTACAACGAGCTAGGATTCAACGAAGCTCATGGAAGGAAAGAGAAAGAACATAAAACTGTGACGCAGAAAGCAGCAAGATGGGCAGGAAAAAAGGCAACATGTTCTTGGACGAGGTAAAATCATTCTGTTAAAACAATTTCCGTGCCACGATCAGGTTTTCACTTTTTACCATGCGCACTGGTCACGCTAGATAAGATGATAGTTTAGTAAATGGCAGACGCTACTTCCATCACAGTAAAATTCGAATGATGCTATATTGCTATCCATTGACTATGTCATGCCTCCTCCATTTTTGAAACAAGAAAGAAAAATGGTTGCGAGAACCTGAACCTGAAGTTCTTTTATATTCCACATTTTCATTTTTGAAAGACGTATTGATTCGTATGTGGCACTGACTGGTATGTGCCAAATGACGTATATAATAGTGTTGAGGGCACATTATAGGTCTTGAAATTATTCAATTTTCTCCTATTGATAAAGTGCGTACAGTGGTTCCCCACTGGAAGAGGTAAATTTGTTCAATGGCCTGCATATTTCGTTTTGATCTAATGCGATACATGGTTGCACACACATCTGTTCTATGTTGTTTTGTTATCTTTCAGCTCCTCATGTAGGCTAATGTTCCGCGTTGTGGCGCATCGTGTTAAGCGCTAGATATACGCTCGTCACTGCACCTCTGATTACATTGCGTGGGTTCTAAGTTTCGAATCCTGTAGGAGATAATTATGTGCGCGAGGATTGCTGGACTCCTTGCTGCTGTAGGGCAGCTCACCAGCGGTTATAGCTTCCCCCACCATCCCATTAAGTTCACGCTTTTGAAACAAATTTTTGGCTAATTTTGGGGAGAGGAAAACCGATAATACGGCTTAATCATATGGCGAAACCACAGCCTCTTCTTGTCCTGGATAAATATGTAATTCTGATTCTAAGGACTGTGGTGTTTCTTCCTTGTTTGTCTGTCTGTTAGACACTTTTGTCTGTTACGCGATATCTCATGAAAGCGAGGTTGAATCTGCTTCAAATTTTGCATATGCATTCATCATATCTCGGACCATAAACATATTGATTTCGGATGAATTATGTCGTATAATTAGCGAGTTATTGATTATTTAGTGATTGGACACACGATGTCGCTGTGGAGTCATATCGAATGAATCGAAACCGCTGTTTCTGTTTTGCGAGATCCCCTAACTTTCGATCTATAAGTCGTCTGTCTCCGACCGATAATCTCGTTTTTGTTATTTGGTCAGTGGCAACTATCCTGGATTCCCATTCTGTGCAAAATTACTCTTGCAGTTATCATGTAGAAATGTAGAGTACACTCTATTTGCTTCTCTCTCCCATATATAAATGATAACAAACACATTTTTAAATTTCAGGGTCTGGGCAACAGTTGTCAGCTTCATACCGGTATTCGGATGGTTACCAAAGTATAAATTGAGATATTTGACTGGAGATATGATTTCAGGCATGACAGTCGGAATTATTAGGATTCCACAAGGTAAGTTTTATTCTGACAACTTTATTGTTAAAATTTCAGTCGGAAATTTAGAATACTTTTAAATAATTCCTCAAAAAATGTGCCGCTCATTCAAGAGCAAAAAAAATATACAATCATGGATCTCATTAACTGTCGTTTTTTTACACGACAATGAATTTCCCTCAGGATAGCTGGCGCTTTGTCCCAGTTTTATCTGGTAAAGCGAATAATTAGAGTCCTTGGGGACGAAATGTCCTCAAACTATTCTCAAACTTTAAATTGGTAAGATGCCCAGCTCGCTTAGTTAGAGTCGTGCCCCTCGAATTGGAGTGCCAAGTGGGCCGTTCTTGGTGAGCAGGACTGGCAATGCGAGAGGAATCCGCTTAGGAGTGTGTAACAACTGACCTGCCGAATGAACCAGCCAGTGTTCATAACCCAATTTTGAATTTATTCATGATTTTATATCTGAAAATGTCATTCCAGAATGTATCAGTTCTTGCCATCCTCGAATGCAACATACATTAATACTTCTTTATTCAGGAATGGCGTATGCACTACTTGCAAATGTTTCACCAGTATACGGCCTATACAGCTGTTTCTTCCCTGTTCTACTATGGTTTGTCTTCACAACATCTAAGCATACTTCTATAGGTAAGTGGCGAAGATTTTTTTTGCTATTTCTGAATAGATACCCATATTATATATAACAGCCATGCATCTGAAACAAATACCTGGCTAACTAATCCGATACCCAACATGGACTGATAACCGGACGAGATGCCGTGGTTCGCCATATGATTAAGGATAGGATTTACATATTTATCCCGGGGGAGAGGAAAGCCGATAAGACGGCTTATCCATATGGCGAACCACGGCCTCTCGTCCGGTTACCATTCCAAGTCGGGTATGGGATTAATTTTACTGTATTGTTTGTTTTCGGAAGCATGGACTTGGTGGTGGAGGAAGCCGTAACCAACCAGTGGTTACGTGAACCACCCAACGACGGGGAGGAGTCCAGCAATCCTCTCGCACATAACCATCCCTGCATGGGATGCGAACCCACGCAGAGTGATTAGAGGTGCGGTGGCGAGCGTATTCCTAACGCTTAGCCCGTTGAGCCACACCGCCGCGCCGTCTCATCGCCTTTCCTCTCCTCCAGGATAAATATGTGAATCCTATATATTTATTCACAGAATTCACTTTTATAATACTCACTCTATTTTTACTTCAGGTACAATGGCTGTTGTCTGTCTCATGATCCAGAACCTCGTGTCCAAGTACGTACCGGAAACTGAGATAGTTTCTCCGTATGTCAATGGAAGCCTTTCCACAGAAGTCGATCCTGGCACAGTGGATCAGTACTTCTACACAGGTATTGTGCTGAAGTTTTACCGGTATATTTTAATTATTTCATGTATATTATCCTGTTATAATACTGCTGTCATATTGTGCACCAGAAAATCGAACACTTTGTGTTATGTGTATGTGTTTTTACAAAACCTGTCAATTATGTAAAAATTTATGCGCCTCATACCACTTTGGTGAAATGAATGCAGTTCAATAAAATTAACAGTCCTTTGCCATGAAAAACACACAACAATTATTTTCACTACACTTTAAAAAATTTGATGAAATTTCGCAGTTGCTCCGCGTGGCCTACTAAAGTTTTACCAGTATCATTTCGTTATTGGACACGTAGTGGACATAACGATCGTTTCAATATTATGTTGTTGTTGTTGTTCTTGTTCTTTGACACGTTTTTAAAAAGTCGCTTTTCTCTTCGAATACTGGACCAATTGCTTTGAAATTTTCAGTGGTTAAAGATAAAAATTTTCTCCAGAAGGCTATTACTTTTTTTTCGCTATGACGTCATCAAAATTATGTGACTCTACGTGTTCATATATTTGAGCATAGCTTTCTTGTTTGAAGTATACCATCCTGTTGTAACGCAACAGTCTTAAACTGCTGGCATACTTGTTAAGGGTACATGTCACACAACTATGTCTTATGTTGGTAAGGCCTTCAGCATGTATCTTTTCTTATTGTACTAGAGTAGCGGTTCTTAAACTTTTTTAGCCACGCCCCTTTTCAGAAATTGTCTGGCGTCCCACCTCAAAATAACTAGTTACAAATAACCAATGGTTGGGCGAAAGTACATTTTATTCAAAAAACACATTGAAATATGTGGATGCAACGTAAATAATGAAATGAAAGAAAAGTTTTAAAAACAAATAAGGCAGGCAAGATTTCCAAAATTCTTTCATTTTTAATTTGCTTCACAGCCCCCAAAAAATTGTCTACATCTCTTTATGGGGCGTTTCAGGCATTTGAGAACCACTGTACTGGAGTTTTACTTGTATGATTCCGCTTTTATTATGTTTGCTGTCTTTTATCATGCAGCATCGCTAACCTGCTGCTTTATTTGTAAAGGCTACATGTCACACAACTGTGTCTGCAAGGTCATATTACGCATCCATGTCTGTATGTTTATTTATTATGCAAATATTGTTACATTTTGAGGCCAATGAATTAATATACGTGCATGCGTTCATGTACGTCTCATGTGCATTTTCAAGCGTGTTATTAAATAAACGGTACTTATTGGTAAACGATAAAACTTGTATGCTTCTTTAAACTTCTTTATGCATTTCTACCTTTTGTGCAATATTATGTCAATGTTGTGACAGTTTATTTTAACCAAAAGTGTGGCTTTAAGAAAACTAAAAACACATCTTAACCTAAACACAGGAACATGCAACAGAATTAAATTGAGTCACAAAGTATAGCCGAACTATATCGGACCATCGCCTAAGACTCGTAACTTATGCAGGGAGATGGATGTAGTCCACTGTCGCTTGACGATAATCAGTGATAACTAGATAGCAATCGGAGATCGCCAACTTATCGATCTTACAGTTTCGATTTCTTCACTCTTACTCAATAGTGACACCACGTGTCCCATCACTAATTTATTAATAACTCGCTAATTATACGACATAATTCATCCAAAATCAATAGGCTTCTGGTCCGAGATATGATAAATGCACATGCAAAATTTGGAGCAGATTCAAACTCGCTTTCGTGAGATATCACGTAACATACAAAATTGTCTAACAGACAAATACCTATCAACATACTTACCAGTCAAGATCGATAAGTAACAACACAACGTACAGTAATGTAATAATGACTGATTCTAAACAAAGGATTTCAAAATGTAGCACACTGCAATAAGAATAACTGAACTTAATTCCTATAAAAGTCAAATTAATTGGTTTTTGTATAAGACTTCGACTCTCCTTTAAAAACTGCAACTTTTAAACATTTCAGATGAAGCCAACATGACAACCTTCGATGATGCGAAATACATTGCCGATCAGACGGCGGCCAGAGAAGAAATGAAAATACAATATGCATCGACGGCGACATTGCTTGTTGGGATTATGCAGGTACTGTTCCTTAGATTTACCAGAAGCTATAGAATGAGATTTTCGAATTATTTCCGGGGGAGAAGAAAGCCGATAAGACTTAATCACGAGAATATCGGTTGGAAACCGAAGACTTATCGATCGATAGTTAGGGGATCTCCCAAAACAGAAACTGCAGTTTTGATTCATCCGCTCTTGTAACTTGCGCACTGCGCATCGCATTCACACACTCGGCGGGTCTCAAAATTCTCTCGCTTTACAAAAATCTAGATCACTATATCAATAATTGATTGATAACTCGCTAATTATACGACATAATTCGACCAAAATCAATAGGCTTCTGGTCCGAGATAAGATGAATGCACATGCAAAATCTGGAGCAGATTCAATCTCGCTTTCGTGAGATATCGCGTGCATCTAACAGACAAACAGACATACATACAGACAAATACTTACCAACATACTTACCGATTAAAATCGATAAGTAATAATATGGCAAACCACATTCTCTTGTATGGTTACCAGTTCATCTTTGGTATGGTAGTTCCTTAATAGTATGAATCACCTCTCGTCTAGAGTTCTTTATTAATTACAGTAATACCTTTAAAAATACTTATTACTACAATTTTATTTTTCAGATTGCCATGGCATTCCTACGTCTCGGATTCCTCACAAATTTTCTCTCTGACCCGGTGGTTCAAGGATTCACTACGGGAGCTGCTTTCCATGTATTAACTTCACAGGTAAGATTGCAGTGCAGACATGGCAGATGAAATCATCGGAGAATTTGCATCAACGGCAAAATTCCTGTTTTAGCACTCCGATTCCACTTCTTCCACAAAAACACTAAGCATTATGTAAAGATTTTTTTTATCTCCAATCCCTCAATTAACTAAAAGTGCAACCTATGTTGCTTGCTTATTGAAGTTTTATTCGAAGCAAGGTTTCGTTCCCACCAACTAAAATTTGAAAAAGACTCAATGGCTTACTTGCAAGAACTGATAGACTGAATGCTACAAGTGCTGAAAGTTTATCAATTATAGCTGTGGATTTTCTCAAAAAAGTTTGGACAGGATCGCAGCACTCTTATCTTATTTTATCATCCTTCCTCTCCCCCAAGATTAATATTGACCTAATCGAACAATTCATTGTGATGTATTTTTACTTCAGGTGAAATATCTGTTCGGTTTAGACAAAAGCATTGGGAAATACAACGGCCCTGGAGCGATAGTCAGGGTAAGTTTAAATTATTTATTCATGTATAATATTGGGATAGGAACAAAGAAACAGGATAGCGCAAGGAACATGCTTGTATTGTATTACTGGTCAGTCATGGCTTCCTCCGCCATTAATTCCATGTATTAGTAACATATAACTGGCTAATTAATTCCATACCCGACGTGGACTAGTAACCAGACGAGGTTCACCATATGATTAATGTGATTAAGCCATTTTATCACTCACTTTGCGTTGCCGTAAGCTGGTCTACAAACCACTGATTGGTTATGGCAAGTTCATGCATCAGAAACATATAACTGACTATTCCTATATCTCACATGAACTGGGAATTGGACGAGAAGTATTTTTAAGAACAATCCTTACTGATTGACCCAATTTTTATTTTTCCCCTCCTCACAAAAAATAAAATAAAACATAAAAATTTTCTGTTGGAAACTATGCGTAAAAATTTGAATAAAACTTATTTCAGACATACATTGACATATTCAAGAACCTGCCGAACGCCAACGTCGCAGAAATCGTAATTTCCCTGATTTGTTTTCCTTCAATTCTAATCGTGAAGCATTTGAACGACAAATACAAAAAGAAAATGCATAATATTCCGTTTCCGATTGAGCTTGTTATGATTATTATCGTCACGTTGGCCTCGTACTTTGGAAATTTAGATGCACCTCCCTTCAATGTGAACACTGTGAAGCATATCCCAACAGGGTGAGTATGTTTTCCTATTGCAACACATTTTTATGTCACATTTTCAAGAATTTTAAGAAATATTATTGGCGTTCCTGTAGTATGTGTATCAATATGAAGGTAACTAATTTTGTTTGCCACTTCATATCAGGTTGTGTAAAGGGACGGAAACCTATGGACTACCGCATATTCAGTTGGTTAAAACAGGCATTCCCCGAACTCGTCATAGAAATAAAATGAGGGAAATTAGAATTGGATTATGGCCTGACCCTAACCTGGTACACATACTACGGTAGAACCTTATAATTTTTAGGCATTCACTTTTAGCAGGGCAGTTGACAAGCAATATTTTTAAGCATAATAGCATAAAGTTTTGCGTAAATGCGTTTTTTTTTAAATTTTTTTTATTAACTGATGTTTTGTATTATGATTCTGGTTTTTGTAAATTCTCATTTCAATGCTGATTAGGATGCTGACTTCCAAATTGGAGTTTTCCCTTTTTTTGAGAAAGCTGAGTTTGTAGAAATAAAATTTCTTGATTTATCTGTCCCAGTGGTTCTTGACCAGGGGCCAATGCCTACCAACTGGGCCACAGAGCAGTTAGAGGAGGCCACCATGCTAAGCGCGAAACTGATTTCATTTTTCCCTCAAATAATCTAATTTCCTTGCATGATAAGGTTATTTCACTGGGTGTTTTCCCTTTGTTGAGTATGGATTGTTTGAACTTTATTGGGATTTGGAATCTACCAATCAAAACAACACTATAAATACTACTGTAATGATAAACAGAGGGCCATGAGTGCTAAATCCGGGGCTCCCGAAGTATGCGAACCAAGATGGCCGACATCGGAATGTAATATGTGTACCAGGTTAGGGTTAGGCCATAATTTTAGCTATAAATACTACGGGAGGCTCTTGGCTAGTGTTCGAACTAATAATAGGACTAAAATAAGGAAAATTGGAAAAAAATTATCGCCTAACCCTAACCTGTTACCTATGTTACGTTCCGACGTCCGCCATCTTGGTTCGCATACTTCGGGAGCACCCTAAATCCCTCCAGAAGGGGGGCCACGAGCCATAAAAGGTTGGGAACCACTGTCTTCTTGGGGCTCCCGAAGTATGCGAACCAAGATGGCGGACATCGGAATGTAATATGTGTACTAGGTTAGGGTTAGGCCATAATTTTAGGTATAAATACTACGGGAGGCTACTGATTTATCCACTCCTCTAATTTAGGGTGTCCATAATATCTTGAATTTTTTTTAAATTAAAAAGGGGATTTTTTGATACCATATATTGTTTTGGCCCTCACAGATGTAATAAATGAAGTAAAAATACTCAAACAATTACTGGTTAAAAAACAACAAATCTGGTTGAGATATATTGAGAACTGACTTCATAAAAAAATTGAAATAATAAAGGGACTTCGTGGACACCCTGTATTATAGGAAATTGTCTTGATCTAGCCCTTTAGCTCCCACTATCTGAATCTCAATAAGAATTGTTCGTTTATTTCCAGAATGCCGAGTTTCCAGACGCCGCGTTACATCAGTCATTGGGGTGAAATGATATCAGACTGTCTTATCATCAGTATTATCAGTTTTGCTATCTCCTTATCTCTGACAAAGATATTTGCTGATAAACATGGATATGAGATTGACCCTAATCAGGTTGGTTTAGTTGTGATTTATGAATATTTGCTTTAGAGTAGAAATTGGTCATTGGACAGACCTGCTCTACAACCCAGCCCATCTCCTCTCCTACCCCTCCAAAAAAACATTTTTCATTTTGAATCCCATGCGGAGATGGTCATGTGCAAGAGGATTGCTGGACTCCTCGCCGCCGTTGGGTGGTTCACGTAACCGCTGGTTAGTTACGGCTTCCTCCACCATCAAGTCCATGCTTCTGAAAAAAAATAACCAACTAATCCAATACCCGACATGGAATGGTAACCGGACAAGAGGCCGTGGTTCGCCATATGGGTTGAACCGTCTTATCGGCTTTCCTGTCACCTGGGATAAATATGTCTATCCTTTCTTATTAATATTGGACTTTCTTGCTGCTGTCCCCAACACTGCTCGTCCCCTATTTTTCCATAGTTTCCCAGTGCTCATTTTTAAGCGCTCCGGAAGTATGTGCACCAAGATGGCGCACACCTGAACCCTAACCTGGTACACACACACACTATGTTCAGGTTGCGCGCCATCTTGGTGCACATACTTCCGAAGCGCTGCTCATTTTTATATTAAAAATTTTTTTTTAGGAACTCTTTGCTCTTGGTCTCTGCAACTTAATTCCAGCGTTTCTGAGTTCGTTCGCGATCGCTGCTTCCTTGTCAAGAACGGCAATTCAGGAATCAGCAGGTGAGAATAATGACCGTTCGACATCATATAATCAAGATGTCTCATTGACTATTCTCCCCCTTACTGTATCTATTTATATTTTTGCTTGGTACTCGTTTAACATGTGATGTTCTCACCACTACAATAGGATTTACATATTTATCCAAGGGAGAGCCAATACTTATGAATAACCTATTTTTGCTATATGATTTAGGTCCAGCTAACCTACATTCTTTACTCTCCACTGTGAAAAATTCTTTGCGTTGGAGTGATTAACATATTCTTTTCACCACTAGGTGGCAACACACAACTCGTCAGCGTTTTATCATCGATTTTAATGCTGATTGTCTTATTATGGTTGGGTCCGTTATTCGAGCCCGTACCAAAGTCAGCACTAGCAGTTATCATCATTGTTGCTTTGAAGAACCTATTCCTACAGTTTGAGAAATTAAAAGCTTTGTGGAGCGTCAGCAAGTTTGATTTCGTAAGTCGTTTTTTTTCAATTCAGCTCAAAATGAGTTCTAAAGAGAAGAAAGCTTCTGGATGAAGTGGCTCAAACCAGGGCCACTTGCAATCACTCAGAAGTAAAGGAGACTCATCTCTGAGCAAAGTTACGGGCACTCACTCAGAAGTGAAGGAGACTCATCTCTGAGCAAAGCTACAGGCACTCCCTCACAAGTAAAGAAGACTCATCTCTGAGCAAAGTTACGGGCACTCACTCAGAAGTAAAGGAGACTCATCTCTGAGCAGAGTTACGGGCACTCACTCAGAAGTAAAGGAGACTCATCTCTGAGCAAAGTTACGGGCACTCACTCAGAAATAAAGGAGACTCATCTCTGAGCGACTTTACGGGCACTTACTCAGAAGTAAAGAAGACTCATCTCTGAGCAAAGTTACGGGCACTCACTCAGAAGTAAAGGAGACTCATCTCTGAGCAAAGTTACGGGCACTCACTCAGAAGTAATAGAGACTCATCTCTGAGCAAAGTTACGGGTACTCACTCAGAAGTAAAGGAGACTGTGGGCACTCACTCGGAAGTGAAGGAGACTCATTTCTGAGCAAAGTTGTGGGCACTCACTCAGAAGTAAAGGAGACTCATCTCTGAGCAAAGTTGTGGGCACTCACTCGGAAGTAAAGGAGACTCATTTCTGAGCAAAGTTGTGGGCACTCACTCGGAAGTAAAGGAGACTCATCTCTGAGCAAAGTTACGGGCACTCACTCGGAAGTAAAGGAGACTCATTTCTGAGCAAAGTTGTGGGCACTCACTCGGAAGTAAAGGAGACTCATCTCTGAGCAAAGTTGTGGGCACTCACTCAGAAGTAAAGGAGACTCATCTCTGAGCAAAGTTACGGGCACTCACTCAGAAGTAAAAGAGACTCATCTCTGAGCGACTTTACGGGCACTCACTCAGAAGTAAAGGGGACTCATCTCTGAGCAAAGTTACAGCACTCACTCAGAAGTAAAGGAGGCTCATCTCTGAGCAAAGTTACGGGCACTCACTTAGAAGTAAAGGAGACTCATCTCTGAGCAAAGTTACAGGCACTTACTTAGAAGTAAAGAATACTCATCTCTGAGCAAAGTTACAGGCACTCACTCACAAGTAAATAAGATTAATCTCTGAGGAAAGATGCGGGCACTCACTCAGAAGTGAAAGGGACTAATCGCTGAGCTAAGTTATGGGCACTCACACAGAAGTAAAGTAGGCTCATTTCGGACTATAATTACAGGCAACTCGTTTTGGTAGCTGTGAGCTTGATGGAGGCCAGCAAGTATGGTTTTGTAGGTTTCTATTTAATTACACACTAGGTGCATTATACTAATCTTGGTAAAGAAACAATTTTGCTCAAAGATAATCATCTTTACTTCTGCGCTGCGTTCATGCTCATAATGCACAGAGGCATAGCCAGGAATTTCCAAAAGCTGGGGGACTTGGGGGGAATTTCTCATTGCCAAGTTGGATGATAACAGCTAGCAGGTTCTGCTGTAGACAAATGTGACTTCGAGATGAGTTTTCTTCTTGTGAGTAAGTAAGCGTGGTCCTGAATAATGTATCTCAAAATAACTTCCTTATAGTTCAAGAGGTCAAGCTGAAGGCAAACGCTATATAAAAGTGTTTTCTCCTGGTTTTGAAATTTTCTATTTTCCTTACAGGTAATCTGGCTTACAACATGCCTCGCTGTCATATTCCTTGGAGTTGACCTTGGCTTAGGGGTCGGGATTGGTGTCGCAATTATTGTTCTTATGTTAAGAATACAGAGGTAAGATTTGAAATTATTTTGGGGGGGGGTGTGTATAAGAATATTTACAAGCGAATACTGTGAAATGGGTAAAATAATTTGTAAGCGTGTATAAGTTAGCTTCAGGGAGTTAGTGACTGATTCGAGCCTGCTTTTTGCAATTTCGTAACTTGTCAGTATTCTTTCTATTTGAATGATAAGAACCCTGGTTGTTTAGACCAGGGGTGCACAACTCAAATGAGGGCACGTGCCGAATTTTTCAAAATAATCTTGTCGCTTGCCACGCACAATTGTGGTATTGTAAATTAACTCCCGTAAAACAAACAAATTGCAATAACAATACATGATAACAGATATCTATTTATTGAAACAATTTAATGTCCTGAAAAAAATTGCTGCTTTTGATATAAACGTGATATTTTAATGTATATCATAAATATTTCTTTATTTTACAAAACCGTTCGCGTGCCACGTTTGAGCGTTAGGCGTGCCAAATTTGGCACGCGTGCCTCGTGTTGTGCACGCCTGGTTTAGACCTTGCTTTAAACAGAATGAATCATTCTTTATTGACCGAAGCAATTTTGAATTACATGTTTGCTCATCTGAATAGATTTCTCCTCATAAAAAGAATTTATTATAAATGATTAGGTCGACATTAACTACTGATTACCTAAGATGGTGGACGGATACACAAATGGGATACAGAGTGTCAATAAAGTCTCAAAATTTTTTTAAATTGCAAAGGGAATTTATCGATACCATAATATATTGTTTGGCCCTCACAGATGTAATAAATGAAGTAAACATCTCAAACAATTACTGAAAACAATAAACCTGGTTAAGATAAATTGAGAACTAACTTCATAAGAAAATTAAAATTGTAAAGGGACTTTATGGACACCATGTATTAGTTACGGTGTTTAAATGCTTGCTCTCCTCATAAACTGTGAATATTTATGGCCTGTGAATGTCTTAGGATTAAAAATTTCCAGAAGGCTTGTGATCAATCATTGCAAAGTACACAATGAGATGGTAGTAGCCATTGGGTTAGTATATTTGTTAGTATACTCATAAAAGAATGATTTATTGATTGAGATAGTCTATGGCAAACAACTACACGAAATTCGAATTTGAAAAATGTTTATAGAGAAAAACTAAGCAATCAAAATGATCGGATATTTGAAAGATTTTAATATTTATTTTGGGGGAGAGGAAATTAGATAAAATGGTCTTATCAAATGGCGAACCACGGCCTCTCTTCCGGTCACCAGTCCATGTCTGGTATGATATTATTTAGCCAGTTATTTGTTTCAAATGCATAGACTTGATGGTTGCGGAAGCCGTAATGACCAGCGGTTATGTGAACCACCCTACGGCGCCGGGAAGTCTAGTCATCTTTTCGCACAAGATCCGCCACACCACCATGTTAAATTTGCCATTATCCAACTAATATTGCGTTAAATGCAAAATTTTACATGAACAAGCATTTATATAGATTTTGACTTAACAATATTAGTGAATTGTACCTATTCTATCTATATTTATTTCCACATTTCGGGTCAGAACCTTGTTAAAATATCATTTTTATATACAGGGTGGCCCAAAAGTAGGTATACAGTTATTAAACTATTTTATATGCTTTGAAGCTACTTGCAGTTCACTATATGTTACTTGTTAAGTACCACCAAAATTGCTTATTTTTTAGATAATAAATCTAGTGTGAATTTTACATTAGTTTTCTAGCTGCTTGGAAGGCAATGATAAATAAATAAAATAACTGTATGCTTACTTTCGGGCCACCCTGTACATTATAGAATTCATCATTTATCAATTAAAAAAATTGAAATATTTTTTCAGGCCGAAGCACATTCTCCTGGGAAGGATACCTTACACAGACTTATATGAGGACCCGTTACTTTACCCAGGGGCAGAAGAAATACCGGGGGTAAAGATATTCCATTACGCTGGGTCGCTATGTTTCACAAATAAAGAAACGTTCAGAGAGTCAGTGTTGAAAGCTTTAGAGTAAGTGTGTTTATATGTTTTTGCCTAAGATTTTGAAAAATAAAATTGTGATAACATTTGGAATTGTTTACCTTTCACTCAAGGAATTTCCATATTAAAATCTGTTTCCCAAGAACTCGAATCTTGAAGTTGTTCTCTCATCCTGTATTACTAAATTTAGGCAGGAGACATTTAGGGAGTCTTGGGAGGCTTTAGAGCAAGTGTGTTTGTTTGTGATATACCTTGGGACAGTGATTCCCAAGCTTTTTAGAGTCGGGACCCCCTATTTATTACCACAGCTTATGACGACCCATTTAACTTTTTATGTCATAACACAGAACACAACAATGGCTAACCAACCCTACCCTTAAAATAAATTTAAAATGTGTGTGAGAGAAACGGTTCATTGGCCTGAGGTAAGGTGAAGATCACACCACTATTCAAGATTGTGTGATGTCACAATCACAGTTATGATATTTGTCACTTGATTTTTGTATAGGAAATACAAATAAAAACAATGGATGTTGGTTTTTATATAATGTTTATTAACAAAATCTCGTGATTTTCTACAATGTAATTTTATTTTTAATAAATGAACACAAAAGACCCCTTGCAGAAAAAAACATAGTGTTATTCTTCAAAAGTAAATAAATCTAAATTCTGTCTGAATTTCGGGGAAACACGGTAAGAAGTGCTGTACAGTGTACAAAACTGTTAAGCGTAAAAAAGCCACATGGTCATTCTTTGTGTAGCAAATTTTTGTTTCTTTGAGAAGATCGTAAAAGGGAAGCTTTCATAGATTAGAATTTAAGACTTTAATTAATTTTAATTTCTTTTGTTTTTTTGAAGATTTACGTATTCGAGTCGCCACCGATTCTAATAACCAGTATAATTAATCGAAGCTTTCTACATCTTTTCACGACCCACTAAGATTCCTTTTGTGACCCACCAGTGGGTCGCGACCCATAGTTTGGGAACGGCTGCCATGGGATGTCTATGTTAAAGCAGCCAATGAAGCCTATTCACTCACTGATTTCGTTTCACTATTCAAAATAATCCATTTATCATAAAAAGTCTTACAGTAAATCAGGGCTGACTCCAAACAAAGACCCAGTTAAAGCAGCTGAACATATGTATGGAGTTACCATATTTTGAAGAACTTGGATCCTTCAAGTTACGCAGTTTAATGCTTCGGCCATCAAGCCATGGCGCTCACAAAAGCTCTCTCTTTTACTTTTCCCACTCCAAGATAGCCAAGAACTCACAGGACCTTCAGAAGTATGCGCACCAAGATAGCGCACAACCTGAACATAGTATGTGTGTACCGGTTAGGATTCAGGTTGTGCAACATCTTGGTGCGCATACTTCTGGAGCACCAACTCGCAATTAACCAATGTTAAACCTTGAATGTTCCGACTTTACAAATATATTATCTTAAATATATCAGTGGTCGCTTGCACAGAGACTTGTTTAGAGTGTGCCATGAAATATTTTTCTTATTTAGTTGCAACCCAGTCGTTCTGCTCGCTAAGAAAGAGAAAGAAGAGAGGAGGATTAATAAAGAGAATAAAAGAGAGAAGAACGGACGAGTAAACAAAGCAGTGGATGAGACCGGGGTGAGAATTTTTTGTTTTAAAAAATCGAAATTTGATGTGTCAAAAATATATTACTCTCAGTTGTATGGAGTTCACTAACTCCTCAGCTGTTTTGCTTGATGTTTTTGACATAATAAAGTAAAACACTCCAAAAAAAACCTCAAAAAAATTCGTGGAAAAGCACCAAAGTCAAGTCAAGGGTAAATTGACATTTACTGGCATGTTATGTGCCCTTTCATTTTATGGTTTCAGAAGTCCATTTCAAGGGTCGACCAATGACTTGGCCCCTAACCTTGCTTTGAGCAAATAAACGCATTTGGATAAAAAATGTTTCGAAGATATTTGTGTGCTGGTGAAGTGTGTTCCAAGGTGTTTCTGCACTGATGCATGTTAAGAATGCCAAAGATTTTGAGGGAGAATATTTGGTACTCCCGTAGTATGTGTACCAAATTAGGTTTTTAAGTTTATTCCTTCTTTCCTTATTTTAGTTCTATTACGAGTTCAGGACTGTCTGTGTTAGCCAAGTGAATATACCTCCTGCCCATAGGCTTCAATCCCTTTACACAACTTGATGTAAAGTTGGCAAACAAAATTAGTTACCTTCATATTGGTACACACACTTCTGGAGCACCGAATATTCTATCAATGTTAAATTTTTAATGTCAGTGCTTCCCACTGCACCTCTGATTAACCTGCGTGGGTTCACAGTGTCGAATCCTGCGGGATGTAATTGTTTGCTTGAAGATTGCTAGACTTCTCATCATTGAAAGGTGGTTCATGTAAACGTTAGTCGGTTTCGGCTTCCTCCACCATCAAATCTATGCATCTGAAACAAATACCTGGCTAACTAATCCCGTACCTGACATGGACTGGTAATCAGGTGGGAAGCCATGGCTTGACTCGGGATAAAATTGAAATTTCTAAATCTCAATCCGCAAGTAGCTTTGAATCTAACAGGATATAGAATTGCTTCAGCCTTAGTCAGCATCATACCTTGTTTATTTCTACCGGTAAAAATGCTATGTTCACTTTCACTGTTTTATGTATGTTTCACTTTGCATGGTGGTGGTTGTCACAGCGATTGCTAGACTCAAAACAGTCGACTGAATTCAGGACAGTGAGATACTCGGAAATAAAACAGGTAAGTGGTGAACCCTGCATGATTAATCAAGCATGACGAGTGTGAATCGAATATTATAAATTGGCTATTCAATGGATGTTCCTCGACCCTTGACCCCTGGAAGATTCGCCCTATACTTTATCATTGCTGACTTTGAGAGTATTTCGGAGAGTTGGCGCTCACAAACTGGCTCATATGTTCAAAACTATCATTTTTACTCAGAAAACATTTTTAGGCAGAAAGCCAAGGTCACTCATGCATGAAACAATGGGAGCCATATCACAATATCAACTAATGAGGGATGTCCAAAACAAATTCAAATACATCCAAAATTGGTTGATACTGCATTATGGCTCATTCTGGCTGTATGTGTATACAAATTCAACCAGTTAGACCCGATATTCATGTAATAAGCGATGTCTAAAACAAATCCAAATACTTCCGAAATTGGTTGATACTGTATTATGGCTCTCATCATTTAATGCTGGCTGTATGTGTATACGAATGGAGCCAGTTAGGCCCGAAATTTAACTGATAAAGGAATGTCCAAAACAAGTCCAATATCCCAAACACACCCAAACTTGGTTGATACTGTAATATGTCTCATTCTGGCTGTGTGTGTATACAAATTTAACCAGTTAGACCTGATATTCATCTATTAAGGGATGTCAAAATAAACCCAATATCCAAATACATTTAGATAAAAAATGGTTGAATTTCAACGAAGTAAAATCTTGATTTTGTGGGATAAGTTAGAATATTTTCACTGAAAATCTGGACATCTCCTAGCCAGACGAAAAAATTTACAAAATAAATTAATATTGGTAGCCAGTGGCATGAAACGGCAATGTCCATAAGTTAGATCAAGTAACTGGCATTATGTACTTATTAATACCATAACCAATTCAGAATCGTTAATTTTTATTCGCATTCACCAGTAATAATATGTGCCCGTGGCATGAAAGAACAATGACCAATAGAGTAACACCAGAGAGATTATATGTTTTTTTGATACAGTAACCAATCCAAAATCCTATTAATCATTCAAATTTGTCAGTAATGACAGACATAAACTAGGTTCGGAACTGGGAACATGTATACGTTATTCAAACAGTAACCAATCCAAAGATCCAATTTTTTAGTTTAATGACTTGTGCAAGTGTCATGAAATAGCAATGGCCATAAGTTTGGTCCAACGCTTGGATTATGTACATGGTATTAATACCGTTACCAATCCCAAAATAGTAGAATTTTATTTGCATATATCAGTAAAAATATGCGCGCTCGTGACATGAGAAAGCGATGACCATGCACAGAAGAGTAAAATCCAGAGGGAGATTATGTATGCGATTAAAACGAGTAACCAATCCCAGAATCCTATCAATTGTTCAAAATTGTCAGTAATGAAATGTGCCCGTGGCATGAAACAGCAGTGACCATTAGACAGGTTCAAAGCTGGGATTATCCACGGACTTCTGCTTACTCTTTGCACTGTTGATTAGAGTAATTAGCATAGAATGCTATTCCTCATGCCCAACTGTGCAGTGGTAAACGGTATTAGTCTTATTTTTGAGTTGTTTAGTTATGTGTAATGGTGGTATGCTACTATTTGTGGGCAAAGTGATTCATACATTCACTCCTAGTTCAATAAAATCGAAACTAAAAAACTCTAAGAGTTAGAATTCATGGTTTACCAGTAAAAAAGATGTATTGATGACATGAAGCAGCAATGATCAATGACAATATCTTGAGCAGTGGTTCTCAACGGCAGTTTGCAAAATCTGTTTTAAAATTATATCTCTCTCAATTGCAAGGCATTAACCCTTTCCATGCGGTGGGCACGTATACGCACCAACGACAAAAGTCGCTAGATTGCGGCGGGTATGTTGATGCACTCCACTGTTTTATTTAGCAATCGGTCGCAAACTGTTGGTCTAGTTTTTCCGGGTTTTAGTTTATTGATAAGAAGTCTTCTTCGAGATTAACATAAGCGACGGTAAATCTCGCTTTCGTTTACGACAGGAATTTTATTTGCGGCGGAACGAGAGAGTGTTTTTGAAATTTATGCAAATTTCGGTGTTTTTTGGGTGGTAATAGAAGACATATTATCCCTTCCATCTACCAAAGTATTTTGAGTTAGATCACGAAATTGCTACAGCAATATTATGCTATTGTTTGCCAACCATGAAGCTGTAACAGTAAAGGATTTAGCGAATATTTCTATTTTTTATCACGGTTTGAAGTTTCAACTCCCAAGAAAAAAAATGCCTTTTTTCTATCCGGTTTGTGACTCAGACCACCACTTTTGAAAAAACTTTTTTTTTAATCGCCAATTGCAAGCTCTTTAAATAAGCTTTCCAACGAGCCGTCAGTGGGCAGCAGAGGATCATTAGTTTTCGTTAGTCTATCGATTAGTTGTGGGGGTACAAATGCATAAAATCGGCGTAGCAAATACGATTATTTAATAAAAAATAAAAATCGCATGGAAAGGGTTAATGTCCTGCTCATTTATTTTGTTAGTTTAAACTCCTATCGATACGTAAACTAAACATGTTCAGAGGTCTCGCATGTCTTGCAAAGCAGCCAAAATATGACAATTCGTTTGTCAAAGTCTTCTCAAAACTTACTTATTTGCCATTTTATCCATGTAGCTAACTCTTGCCAAGCGCCTGAATATGTATCATCTCAAGGGCTTTAAGATTCTTTAAATTGATTCTGTCAGTAATGAAATGTGCACGTGGCATGAAACAGCAATGACCATAAACCAGGTTCAGAACTGAGATTATGTATACGTTATTCAAACAGTAACCGATCCCAAGATCCAATTTTTTAATTTAATGACTTGTGCAAGTGTCATGAAATAGCAATGGCCATAAGTTACGTCCATGACTGGGATTATGTACATGTTATTAATACCGTTACCAATCCCAAAATAGTAGAACTTTATTTGCATATATCAGTAAAAATATGCGCTTGTGGCATGAGAAAGCGATGACCATGCACAGAAGAGTAATCTCCAGAGAGATTATGTATGTGATTAAAACAAGTAACCAATCCCAGAATCCTATCAATTGTTCAAAATTGTCAGCAATGAAATGTGCCCGTGGCATGAAACAGCAGTGACCATCAGACAGGTTCAAAGCTGGGATTATCCACGGACTTCTGCTTACTCTTTGCACTGTTGATTAGAGTAATTAGCATAGAATGCTAGTCCTCATGCCCAACTGTGCAGTGGTAAACGGTATTAGCCATATTTTTGAGTTGATTACTTATGTGTAATGGTGGTATGCTACTATTTGTGGTGGATGTTGAAATTTTACTTTTTGGCCACTTTTAACAATTTGTTTCTTAGTAGTATGCTACTTATTATGGTGGATGTTAAAATAAAAAAATTTTGTTCGGATTGATAAAATGTTGGAAAGAATAATCATAACAGCATAATATTAGCCATTCACTGACATAAATAATGTACGGTAGGATTGCTCAATTTCTTACTGTCGCAGGTCCATGCTTCCGGAAACAAATAACTGTTTAACTAAACCCATACCCGACATGGAATAATAACCAGACAAAGGCCGTTGTTTTCCATATGATTAAGCCGTCTTATCGACTTTCCTTTCTCTGGGATAAGTATGTATGTCCTATTCCAACGGTCGCCACTCGCCATACCGCGGCTTGCTGAAGCCTTTATGCGGCTCTTCTCACTAGCAATAATTAAATATTATCCAAATTCAACTAAGAGAAACTGTGCTGTAACCGTTTTCTTTAATGTATTAAGCGGTTCAAAAAGTTTTCATCAATGATTAAGACAAATTAAGTTTTAATATGAAAATCGAAGCATGGAATTTAATTTAAATCAGTCAAACGACAAATCTTATATACCCCAATGATCAAATGTTTGTTGCTGCATTGGCGGTTTCAACTACGGCCTCTCAATATATTCTTTGCAATATTGTTATTATTTGTTTGTGTGAAGTTCTTTTCAGTTCACGGTAATCTTATATTATTAAATTCAAAAATTATGCGGCTTTCACATATTTCTGACTAGTTGCATGTGGCCCATTTTACTAAAAAATGTTGCCCACCCTGTCCTATCCTTGAGTTTCCATGTAAATTGGTTACTCGTGACCTTTTTTATAGAAATTTGATTTTTGAATTTTATTTTCCTGTCCGTACAGGAAGACGAAGATCAGAGGGTGAATGAAACAAATATCTCATCAGCACCATCTAGTGGTGAAAGACCCACTAATTCTCCTCATCAAGAAGAAACAAGCATAAGAAAACGAAGAGGTGGCGATACCGGTGGGTTTTATGTATTTATATTGTTAGATTACACCAAATAAGATATGAGAAATAATACAATGATACCTGGTTATTTGTACATAATTTGTCTGGGATTGGTGTTTGACTACCGAAACAATGGTAATTATTTTAATATGTTCTCACGCATTCCAAAATGCCCAAAATATTCACAGAATGTGTAAAAATAAAAAATGTTATTAGTTGCTGTACGATTCAGCAAATTTCTGTGGGTTCTATGGGAACTCCATGAAGATTGCATACCTGTACTGTGACATTGTGGCCTTTGCGTCCATATATTTAAGCATCGCTTTTGTGTTGAATAATCAAGAGGCAGCCAGCCAATATACCCTGTTTGGTTGGGTCACACTATCTCACTCAGCAGCACGCTCAGGTGTTCGAGCGATGGTCCGAAAAGCATTTCGAACTACGAAAAATTGCTATGTATGATACAGAAAAATGCTTTTTATTTAACATTTCCGTCCTTCGAAGCTCTCCGTCCCCCTGGCTACACCCCTGCTCACCATACCAGTGCCATCATGCCCATATATTTGAGCCTAACGCATCTTACTTTATAAGATTCCGATGCCTCTGACATAGAGAACGATATGAAAGGCAGGTATTGCATGGCACTGCTTCATTTAGAATTAGAAATCCTAATTTAAATACCAAACCGTGACGAAGTATGGTCACGGATGGATGATTAAAATGAATTTTGGCAGAATAATCTGTTGTTTATGCATCCTTAATTTTCATAAGTTGTAATTTTATCTAACCATGTTCAACATGCAAGAAGAAATTATAATTCTGTCAGAAGCATGTGTGGTCACGGCTGAATGACTGAAATATAAGTTACTAGAATATTTTTCTCTTCATGGGTCATTAAGCGTCAAAAATTCTGTCGATAACGGTCCAGGGTTGAGTGACTGAAATGCAAGTTGGCAGAACATACATTTATGCTTCATTGGCCATCATAAATGATAATTTTGTTAAAACAGAATACGACCATGGTTGAGTGACTGAAATATAAATTAGCAGAATAACCTTTATTTCATGCTTCACTGACTCTAAGAATCATAATTCTATCGAATCGTCAATAATCACGCTCCATTGACAACTAAAAATCATTATTTGTGCTTCGTACTTATTTTTGTCTATTGTGTACTTTTGGTATGGGATAAAATAAACTACTGACTGACTGACTGATTTGTTGTCTGACGTTTTGACAACATGCAAAGGAAAACTTGAAATTCTTAATTAATATGTCATTCTATAAGGACCCCAAATTTCGTGTATAATTCTTTATTTGTCATAGCATGGAGGGATAGGAAATAAATTTTCATAAAGACTAGAAACTAAAAATAGAAACTAAATGGCACGGGACTGGAAGAACCGGTATATCAATCATTCCCATGCTATGTAAAATCAGAACCCGCTATTATAATTTAATTTCAATTTCTCATGCATGAACAGCACTTCCTCCCTTTTTATTCTGGGAGGAGAGAAAAGCTGAGAATATTAACTTTTACTTTTGTTCTGGCATATTAATGATCTTCTATTATTATTAAATCATTTTAAAATGCCCTATTAGCCAATATTACATATTTTTTTGTGATTTTTTTTAAGGGGAGTAGTGTATATTTACATTGAAGTACGGTACTTTTATGAGTAACAAAAATATGCAGTTAACGTTGAAGACCTTGATACCATATTTAAATTTTTTATAATTCTCGGAAGTTTTTTCATTTCAAATATTTTTCCAATCACAGGTACAGTTGAAGATATGTCAGTTGTCTCATCTACTGATTCGTCAATTTCAAAACTCAGCGTTTCAAAATTTTTGCCAGAATTCCATACGTTGATCTTTGATGCCTCCAAGTGGTCATTTATAGATTCCACTGCGGCAAGAGAAGTTGTTTCGCTCGTTTCTAAATTTCAAGCACTCGGAGTGAGAGTTCTGATCGCTGCTGCCTCTTGTGAGTTATCTATATACTATTATTTACCTTCAGAATCGTTGGGATTTATTACAGCAACAAGAGCATGTAATTTTATCTATGTGAGCGTTTTCTAAACAAACTGTCCGAATAAGATTTTGTGCTTGATTGGAAAGTGTCTGAATATTGACAAGGGCCTCACTGAATGACTTGGCAGACCGGGTTGTGACCTGCGGGCCGCCTTTTGCACACCCCTGTCAAAGTACCCAGGCTCAATAGTCCTCCAGATTCCTCATTTTTCCGTTGATTGTAACTATAAAATACAGGGAGTCCTAGACTAACGACGCTTAGATATTACAGTACAGTATTATCTTTTATATCTGTATATTTTCGTAAAGTGCATTCGTAACCTCGAAACATCGTAAGTCGCGACCGTCGTAACCCGAGGACTCCCTGTATATGAAAATTCTTGACAGTAGAATAAAATTTTCTTTCTATTTTAACAGCAAACGTTATGCATACATTAGATGGGTGTGGACTCTGCCAGTTTATGTTGAGAGATAAAGTCTTTGTCACTGTACATGATGCCTGTGTGTATGCTGAGAAAGCCCAGAGGTAAGATTTTGTTTTTGTGTGCACTCTGAACAAAAAGACACAAAATTTCTCCTTATACTTTACTATTGCTCAATTTTAGGTACACCCGAAGTATGTGGACCAACACTAGAACGTAGTATGTGTATCAGGTTAGGGTTAGACCATAATTCCAGGTTGAATACTTAGTCACTTGGCTAATCCTCGAACTCTCAATAGGACTAAAATATGGAAAATTAGAATAAAAATATGATCTAACCCTAACCTGGTACACATACTACAGGAGTACCGAATTCTGGATGCTTATTTTGCGAGTGTTTTGGAGAGAGAGAGACACTTACAAACTGATTTACATGAGATGAGGCGATGTTTACAACCATGCTTGAATATCTGTCCGAGTGAACGAAGTGTCTTCGTTGTAAAAATTTCCATTGTTTTGTCATTATATACTTTTTGCTAATTGGTCAATGTTACAGAAATAAAGGAAATATCCATAATTTTTTGTCAAGGCCATAATTCTTGTGAATGAATGAATAAGAAGCCATAGTTCGCTTTAGAAATTGAGTCCCAGAACAAGTAGCCATGATCTTGCTTCTCTGTTTGTTATGAGTTTAAGAACTTATAGCCTGAATCAGTGTTTCTCAGTGGTTTGTGACTCGAAACTGGGTCGCCTGAAAATATTTTTGCGCCGCTTGTTTTGCCTGAAGACCTCTTGAAGTCCCTCGCCACTCCTGTCACACAATTTAAGTTAGTTTCCACTTGTATTTGCACCATGTTTAAATTGTGTTGGCGAATAAATGATGATTGATTGATTGATTGCAATGGAAAACTATAAGTTACTAATTTTATAGTCAATTTTATTTTATATTTCTATAGTAAACATGCACAGTTTTCTCGCTTCAAAAATATTTCTGGGAAATGAATAATAAATAGAATGGATCGTTTTATATTATTTATTTAATTTCGGCCATAAAGTACAAAGTTTAGTATTTGAGCATATCCTTGGATCGCAAGATTCTACAAAATCAATTTTCATTCAAAGTTGGATCGCTTGAGAAAAAGATTGGTAACCACTGACCTAAATCACTAATTTTAAACTGGATCTCTCCTTTTCAGAATGGCCATCACAGGATCAAACTTGGACATCGACCCACAAGGTTACTCTCATCTTCCTGGGTACCCTGGATTCGACGTTCTTGCTTTATGATTGAACACTGGATGGAGCAACAGAGTTAAATAAACTGTGGGAATACTCCTTTGTCACAAATTGTCTCTTCAGTATTCTTACATTGTGATATTTCATTATGTATTTTTATAACTTTTTTCGTTTTGCCACTGAACAAGACCCGGAGCAGGCAAGCTCTCAAAATGTAAACACAATTTTGTCTGTACTCCTGTAGTATGCGAAACAAGATGGCGAGCACCGGAACATAGTATGTGTACTAGGTCAGGGTTAGGCAATAATTTCGGTGACCGCACATTTGAACCCACGTACATTTGAACCCATACATTTGCACCTGTATATCCGCGGGTTCAATCTTTATGCGGGAGCTAAAATCCATGGGTTAGGGTTAGTATGGGTTCAAATATCCGTAAAAAAAAATTTCCATATGTGCAATAGTATGCAGGTGCAATTGTCGTGGGTTCAAATGTACGTGGGTTCAAATGTAATGGAACCATAATTTCAGGTACAAATACTACACGAGTCACTTGGCTATCCATAGAGCTAAAATAAAGAAAAATGGAACCTAACCTGGTACAAATACTACGTTCCGGTGTCCGCCATCTTGGTTCAAATACTTCAGGAACGTCGTTCTAACAACCTTTTGTTTTGTCAATTGTGGCGAGAATCATACTAAAACCTATTTTCAAAAATATACCGGTATACTGAACTGCTGTTATCAGAAAATTAAATAATATCTAAATCTCAATGAATATCTATTGCTCTCTTCGGGAATCTAAATCGAAATTCTGGATTCCCCATTGCCCGAAGCAAAGTTACAAACTTTCAATGATGATAATATAAGTCAAAACCTCCCACTAAAAAAGTTTTAAATGTGTTCTGGGGTTGGTTCACTAAACGCCGTCAAGAACTAACTAGTTAGCGTGGCATAACCGGTTTCACATGTGTCATCTCACCTGAAATTATGTATATCGCTGGCATTATCGAGCTCGGTTTTGTCGGTGGAGATGCCATTTTGAACGATCGTAGCTTTTTGTAACGCCGACTAGAAGTCCCCTCGGCGTTTAGTGAACCTGCGTCATGTGTTACAATGTCCAAGTTCTTGTTACCAAAATTTGATTTTTTGAGTTGAAGGCAAATTTTTTTTACCTAGAAGTCTAGGGTCAAAGTAGATGTCTGGGTATTCTATGACTTTGTGTCAAGCAAGATTGCTGCTTGTTATAATATCACTAGTTCTTGGTTATAGCTCTGTTCTTTTGTTGCTTTTTATTTGAACCAAGATGGCGGACACCGGAACATAGTATTAATACCAGGTTAAAGTTGGGTCATAATTTCAGGTGCATATACTACGGGAGTCACTCACTTGGCTAGTCCATAGAGCTAAAACAGGGAAAATTGGAATAAAATTATGGCCTAACCCTAGCCTGGTACAAAAACTATGTTCTGGTGTCTGTTCTTTTGTTGCCCTTCATTGTATTTTTTTCACAAGTTTTGTGGCAATGCTATTTCTGAAATAATATAGCAATATTGGTACAGGCTTATAAGCCATTTCTCATTTCATGCGTGCCATACTTCCCTTTTTCAAGTTTTTATACTTGGGACCAAAATACTTTTGCTTTGAATTATATCTTCATTAAAGTTATGTATCTTTATAAGGTTCAGGTTTTGTTTGTATGGACTTGGGCCTAAGTGACCAGTGACTCAAATTAGGACATAAAAATCTTGTGATTAAAATTAGATTTTCTCAAGAGTTGGAGCAAAATAGTTGGTGTCGAAATAAGTTTTAGCCAATTTTCTAAAATCAGAGTCGATGTCTAGTTTTTCTGAGGTTTGAGTCTCTCTGCATTTGTGTGAGGCAAGGTTCTGCTCGTTATATCACGTTTTCATGTTGTATTTTTGATACTTTTCATTATGTTTTTTCATAAGTTCTATTTCCAAATCAACATAGCAATAATCATTTGTAGCCATTTCCAATTTGCTGTCCTTCACTTTTACCCCTCCTTACCCTGGGCCAGAATCGAGACTTATTCAACTTTATACCAACCAGAACTCTTGTTTTTTGTGATCTGGTAAATTCTTTCTCCATTTGAGTGAAGCAAGACCCCTACATGTTAAATTCTTACTGTATCTACCGTATGTTTTATATTTGTTGATTTTTATTGTGTTTTTTTAAATATGCTATTTCCAAATCAATATAGCAATATTTTTACAGGCTTAAACGCCATTTCTGATTTCATGCACGCTATTCTATTTTTCAAGTCTTGGTCCAAAATACTTTTGCTTTGATATGTATTTCACTGGAATTATTTAACTATATGGAATCCGTGTTTCGTTCTCTGGGTCACACATAACTCAATTTAAGACTCAAAAGTTCTCATTAACAAAATTAGATTTTCGGGGCTCCCGAAGTATGCGAACCAAGATGGCGGACATCGGAATGTAATATGTGTACTAGGTTAGGGTTAGGCCATAATTTTAGGTATAAATACTACGGGAGGCTCTTGGCTAGTCTTCGAACTGATAATAGGACTAAAATAAGGAAAAAATTTATCGCCTAACCCTAATGAAATACACTATATTATTTCATTTTTCATACTGCAGTGTGTGCTGTCCTATTTGTCAAATGTAATTTTTGCATTGCAGCCAGCTTATGCAGGCGTATAATAAAGTGCACTTATAATAATTATCTGTCTTGAGTTTGATGTGTGAGACGCATCAGCAAACAATGGTTTACAGCAGTGGTTGGAAAACTGCAGCACAGCACAACTGCATGGGCAAAATGCGTCTCGCACTAATTTTTTAGCGGCCCCCGAACGACTTACGGTACTTTTAATAAAGCTCCTCACAAGTTTGTTATTATCTAGGATGTTGTACAGCGTTTGTTTTGTAGTATTTAGCCGAACACAACTGCAGTTAGAAATAATTAACACTGAAATGAAAGGTGACGATTGTTCGTAGGCGGAAATGAGTTCGGCTTGTACGCTAGAGAAAATGTATATTTGGCTCAGCAGCACATACGATTTGCCAATCACTGGTTTACAGTATTTTAGAACCAGGAGGCGGCAGTTTGACTCGTTTAATTTTCAGTCGCTTCGGGAGTCGTTTAAAAATAATAATAAACAAATACGCGCGGATTTAAAGAGCATCTGGGCTGTGGCGTATTTAAACAAAATGACGCCCATGACAAAGTTCAGCAATGCCCCTTTTGATTGTTGGTCAACAATTTTTATTATTGGTTGTTGTGGAAAGAAAATGCTTGTATTTTTTAACTATAAATACAAGTTTCGTTCATTTCCAATTTTAAATTACTTTTTATGATTAAAACTTTTAGCTTGTTTTGCGCCCCTATTCCATGGCGCACATAGCTGCCATACTCTAGATAAGCCATTGCGTATGGGCATAGTTAGGATACTGTACAGCCTGTAATTGTATGTTTTATTTTATTGAAGCCATATTTTCAAAATGCAGTTTTGACTTACACTTTTTTCTCTCTAGTGAGGTATTGACAAAACATGTTTCCTATTTTGCTTGACAATTCAGTAAACTGTTTGAGTGATATATTTATGTCTATTACAATAATAATTGAATGTCTTCTAAGTAATCAAGATTCGAAAAAAGCATTCCATTTGATTCTGAAATGATTAGGTACCCAAGAATGCCCAGCCCTACTGCTGAGTTAAGAGCTCCTCATTTTTTTTAAATTGCAATTTTGTGATTCTGCACTGACTGTCCATTCATGAAACACTGGCGTGTTGAATTCGTGTGTTAGTACACCACATAGTAAACGTGGTCCCATTTGTGTCTCATACTATTGGACAATCATCTAGGTTTTGATGCCCTGCCATCGATAATTACCCTATTAGGGCGATGCTCAATTATGCCTGCTATGCAGTAATTGATATGCTGTGAGCTATGACAAAAATGTAAGCCCATAAAAAAGTGGTCCATGTCATGCACAGACAACAATCGTGGCTGTTATAATCCTGCCCCAATAGCTAGTTCGACTACTTTCAAGCTATTACTCTAGTAGTAGGTCGCCATTTAAATCGCTCAGCTTTACCAGAGCTTACGCTTACTCTTAGTAAGTCTTAGTAAGGTATCTGAATCTGAATACTTTGCAGGATGGTATAGTGATGTAATCATCGAAATGTCTCCACTATGAACAAAGCAGACACTAATAATCAATGTTCCCTCTAATTTTTTGTAGTATGTGTGCGCAGAAATTTTGGTGTGTGCACACTTTTTTGGAAATGACTAATATTTGTGCAAAAACCAATGAAGCAATTTTGGCGTTCTAACCGGGTAATAAGTGGGCCAACAACAAACTTTCTCAACCTGCCAACCAAGAACATTGTTACATTACATCGAAATACGTCTGTGCGCAGTAAATCTATGCGTGTGCGCAGCCTCTCAAAGCTGTGTGCGCGCGCACACCTTAGAGGGAACACTGCTAATAATACTGAATTAACTACTATTCAATAGTTATTCATATACCTGACCTTTACTGGTCACCAGATTAGCCGCACAATTCTACCACATTAAGGGTAGGATGGGATTTTCCTATTCAACCTGCAGGAGGAAAGAAGATAAAGCAGATGGCTACTTTCCTATACTCATCAATTTCCAGTCCATGTCAAGAGGATTAATTAATTCACCCGCAATCAGGAAATGGTTTTCATTTCTATCCCAGAGAGAAAAGGCGATAATAAGACGGCTTCATACGCTATTCTCATAATTACAAACCATGCAAATTACTCGAAAAAAATTGCATAAATTTTATTCAACAAAAATAATTACATAATGCACAGTATTTTACATGATTTGAAGCTTCTTGAGAATGTGAAAAAAGAACGGGGAATCACCCCCCCCCCTCCCTTCAACCGTAAAAAATTTCACTGGATCCACTGAAAAATCAGTTTTCATAAGAAGGTTTTAAAAATTACAATGTCAAAATTTGGTAAATCAAACTGTAATAGAAAACTTACACTTCTGAGGAAAGCTACCTATAAAAATTGGAAAAATTTCATTCATGAAAATTTTATCAGAAAATGTATCCCCTTACAGAAATTTTCAATTTTTCAAAAACCTCCAATTTCTTTTAAATGCTTCTTTGTATTAGATCATACTTTAAAGACGTTTCAAGAAATTCCTGGGGTAATCGCTACAACATTGTGATACATTATTGCGTCTAATTTTGTTACATTCTGGATAACATCGCTGGATCTGAAATTTATTACTTCTAGTAGTCTTTGGTAAACAATTTTTGCATATGCCATCCATATTCACAGTGATGTAATAATACCTGCTAAAATATACGGACGGTCGGTCAAAAGGTGCAGACAATCAATTGAAATTGAGAAATTAACCAATGATGAAAGTATGACGCAGTCTGTTCGTTTTTGGGTTATTGTCTGCAGGTTTTAACTGCACGTCTGTATATTTCAGCAGGCATTATAACGCCACTGTGACATTATTTTCGGATGACGAAGTCAGAAAGGGTTATGAATGACATATGCAAAAATTGTTGAGCCTAGCCCGCTGGAAGTACTGTACCAGACCCGAATGGATATTTAAAAAAAAAAGAAAGAGGCCATTTTAGAAATTAATATAAGCAACAAAAATTATAAAACTGCAACTATAATTAAAATTACATACATAATCGTGCAGAAATTATTGAAATTATGTGAAAATAAATCCAGATGTGAGATCTAATTTTATTTCCTCACATTCAAAGAGAGTTAATGCAAAATGATGTGAACTCACTCGAAAATAACAGAAACTACACTGAAATACCAATAGCTACTGAAACTATATAGGATAATGGTTGCAAAAAAAAAACTCATCTGTGAGCAGACGTATAACAGAAAGTATGAAAATTATGGCTCGTTTGAAAAATAGGGACTCATCTCAGATCAAAGATATGGGCACTCACTCATAAATCAAGGAGACTCATCTCAGAGCAAGGATATGGGCACTCACTCATAAATAAATTAGACTCATCTCTGAGCAAAGTTACGGGCACTCACTCAGAATTGAAGGAGACTCATAGCTGGGTAAAGTTACGGGCACTCACTCAAAAGGAGACTCATCTCTGAGCGAAGTTATGGGCATTCACTCAGAAGTGAAAGAGACTCATCTCTGAGTAAAGTTACAGGCACTCACTCAGAATTGAAGGTGACTCATCTCTGAACAAAGTTAGGAGCACTCACTCAGGAGTGAAGGAGACTCATCTCTGAACAAAGTAACGGGCACTCACTCAGAAGTAAAAAAAGACTCTGAGCAAGAATATGAGACACCATTGAAACGCCAAAAGCAACTGAAACGATATAGAATCAGGGTGGTGCATAACATGCCAGTGGTTCATGTGTTATTAAATTAATGATGTTCAACAATACAGAAATTTAAAAGTGAAAAAAATTATAAAAAACTTCAATTAAAATTACATACAGAATTGTGCAAAAATTAAAGAAAGATACTGGAATAAGAATTAAAACTTACAAAGATTATGGCTAGAATTATTTGTGAACATAAATTATAGTTAGAAATAGGAAATTGAAACCTAATTAAATATTTTAAAAGATAAAAAGTCGTAGGTCACTACAAAAGGTCATATGATATTTCTCAAGGTTGTTTGCAAATTCCCATGGTAATTCTCAGGAGTGAAGGATAACGATAATAGTGATCGCTATTCAAGGTTTAATGAGTCAAAGTCATACAAAATCAGTCAAGGTCATATATCACAGTTTAATGTTGGTCTCTACTCTAGGTCGAACATAACCAGTCAAGGTCATTCATCCCTGGCCAAGGTTATATCTCATTAGGTCATATATCAAAGATAAAGCTTATACGTCCCAGTTTATGGTCTTGAGTTTCTAGTCAAGGTCATACATCAACATTCATGGTCATATGTCACCACTGAAGGTTGTATGTTGTTATCCAAGGTCATACACCATGACTCAAGGTCATATGTCCTCACTCTATGCCACTACAAATAAGTTAAGCCCAAAGTGGTAGCATGAAAAGTAATTGTCAAAATTGGAACTTAAGCACAAAATTTAAGTAAAACTGCTCAGTATACAGAAACTCAACCAAATAATAAAATATCTGGCAGAATCCAAACACCTTGTTTCAGGTAAGATTATTCTGTCAGTTTTAATTACAAATAGAAATAAAAGCTCAAACAATAATACAATTACAATTATTTATTGCATCACAAAAAAGTGAAAGGGGGGCATTATTATTAAGTAAAAATATTGTATTGTGGGAGAAATATTATTGAGATACCTCAAAACTATGAGCGCCACTGAGAAAACCCCATTAAATTAAATCATCGACGCTAAAGGCATGAGTAGCCTAGATATGTGAAACCGAAGTGTCTTCCAAGATGGGGAGAGGGGGTAATCAATTATTTTTTGAAATTGAAGAGGATGTTAGAGGGAGTAACAAATTAGTTTTGTTTTATCACATCATAATGAAATACAAAAGTTTTATTTTGAAAATTTTCGAAATGCCAAAAATAAATTACCGCTTCATAAAATGGAATTGTAATTTTGTTTCAAAGGAGGAGACTAAAACCATGAAAGTTCAAAGTTTCGGATAATCTGGCCAGCAGATTTCTGGGCTGTATGAAATTTAGTTTGATAAAACCATCAGAGCATCGAATATACAGAAAACAAATTCAAATTGAAAGTATGAAATTCAGATTGCTAAAACCATCAGAGCGTAGAATATACAGGGCATATATTAAATACAAATTGTAAGCGATGTAAATGACTGCCTGAATTAATTGAAAAAAATTGGATACAGTACAAGCTTCGAGTGGAAACTTAATTATAGGACAGACGAAATTTATTTATTCAAAATGACATAAAAACCATTTAACGAAGACTCGAAGTGATTCAAGCCATCGGAATGAAATAATCACTAAAAATTCCTGAGCCAGGGATTTTCAAAGGGTGGAATCGGAATTTTTTAATTGACAAGTTACACCGTAACATGTAGCGGGATAACGTGGGACCAAAAAAGGTTTCAAGTTATGAACAATTGCTATCTTGGAACAGAATAATGCTCTTTTACATTTCAAACTGAGGGGGCCCGACCCTCGAGACCAACCTCTGACTACACTTCCACTTGAACCGGGGCTCCACTTTTACCCAGCACTGGTGATAAGAGGTTTTAACCATATAGGGGTTCAAGTCTAATGATTCAAATTGAGAGAAAAGCCAGTAAGATAGTTAGCGATATGAAGCTTTCTCACTGACTAATATCAGGGTCAACTTAAGGTCCTTTAGCTATAGCGGCATAGGAAATTGAAGAATTCGGGTGACTGTCGTTGCAATTTTTTTGAAATCTTGAAGAAACACAGAAATGTAAATTTAAATTATTGATAATCTGTTTTAATCACCAAGTTTCAATGTTTATCGTTATTCCTGTAACTGGCATATGGTTTTTAAGCTTGCTGCATAAAGTATGGAGTAGGGCACAGATACTCAAAGTGCCCCATTCGAGAGAAACCTAGGGGCTCCTCGAGCTAATCGTTTACTAATTATTTAAAATACTGAAAATTTTTTAAATACAAAGCAGCAAATATATCTGAGTCATCAAATAAAGTAATTTTATTTTACTCGGCAACATTAATCAGAAGGTAACAATGTTTTTTTTTTCTCGTAAATTTATTGTGGTATGTCAAGAATAATAGTCAACCTCTCCACAGGCTCTGTGCCACCAAAAGTTTGAGGACCTCTGGATTTGGGAGTCATTTACCATTTCTGGTGAAATATTGAACCCAAAAACATTTAATTAACTAATTAGTATGCAATAAAGCAATATCTGTCCTACATAAAAATTCTAAAATTTTCGAAAATCTAAGATATTTTGCTGCTTCAATATTTTATATTGCATTGAATTATGACTGCACAGTTTCGGAGTTATTTTTGATGACTAAACCTTTTCCAGTTTTATATTTGATGAATCAGCATTTTTCGAAATTTAAGAAAAAATAATTGAAATTCACTTTCACAAATTCCCCCACAATTTACTATAAATATTCTTAAAAGTCTAATTTTGCAAAAATCATCCACAGCAGTGAAGTGGCGATGATCATGACATTGCTAAAATTGATGGTGTTGGCACCACAACAATAGATGTAACCGGGACTTGCAGCTGAAAAGAAAATATATCAATCAATCCATTGAGAAAAAATATTTGAGTACTAAGAGAGAGAGAGAGAGAGAGAGATTTATTATTTTGTCAACCAAAAACAAACAGTCATCAACAATGTTCCCTCTAATTTTTTGTAGTATGTGTGCACACTTTTTTTTAGAAATGACTAATATTTGTGCAAAAACCAATGAAGAAATTTTTGCGTTCTAACCGGGTAATAAGTGGGCCAACAACAAACTTTCTCAACATGCCAACCAAGCACATTGTTACATTACATCGAAATACGTCTGTGCGCAGTAAATCTATGCGTGTGCGCAGCCTCTGAAAGCTGTGTGCGCGCGCACACGCGCACACCTTAGAGCAGTGGTTCTCAACCTTTTACTGACCGCGTACCACTTTACGGTTTTTTACTATGGCCGCGTACCACCGACCAAGCCACTTTTTTGGCGTGAGGAAAAATACACAAGAAACATGCTATGGGAGTATTTTATAATGTGGCACTACATCCCTTGTGGCGTAACACGCAAAACGAAAAAAAACATGCCCATATTGCTTCATTTAAGGTGAGCAATAGCGGGCGAGAGCGATCTCTAAAGTAAAGGACTGGTAGTGTGTCGGCGCTATGAACGTTCCCCCGAACATTGATCCCGGAAAAAGTTATCCCTATACTTTACTATAGCAAACTTTATACTTATTCTAAGAGTGTTTTGATGTGTTGGCGCATATTTACGTGTTTTGAAACCATCATTTGTATTGAAATTATTCAACCATGTGCCGTTTGCAGGTACTGATATATATAGCTAAGTTTAGCCTTGTTTATCGCAGCATTTGCGAGATTCATTTTCAATTACTGCAACTAAATTAAATCTCCGCGGAAGACATAATGACAATTAAGTTAATTTATTCACAATTATTTTCTTGAAACACAACTGAAAACTGACAAATATCACTCAAAACTACAAAAACGAGGCAATGTTTGCAACCATGCTTGAATATCTGTTTGGGCGACAGAATTGTCTGAGCGACTGGTTGCAGAAATTGCAATTGTTACCTGTTGCGTCATTATTGACTTATTGCTGATTGGTTATAGTTACGGAAATAAACAAGGAAACTGAAGCTTGGTAAAACATCCATAAACGCTCAGCGAATACATACAGTAAGGAAGATAAAGTGTTGCCGGTATCTTTTAACCAACTGAAAGGTTAATGGTTGCAATAATTCAAATCAGCTCGCGTACCACTTGAAAGCTCCCGCGTACCACTAGTGGTACGCGTACCACAGGTTGGGAACCACTGCCTTAGAGGGAACACTGGTCATCAATACGAAAAAAATACATAACACAAATAAAATTGCTTTGGTATTGACAGGAGGGAGTGATACGACCAGGAAGTCATCGAGGTCAACTCCCACCCTGCTGAAGTGATTAATGGGAGGCGGAGAAGGAGATGGAGAAAGCCGTAACACTCCACGGTGTGGTGCATCGTGGGTTAGGAATACGCTCGCCACTGCACCTCAGCATAGGCTAAAAATCTCATACGAGGTAAATCATGTGTGGGAGGATTCTTGGACTCCTCGTTGCCACAAGGTAGTACACATAATCGCTGGTCGGTTATGGCTTCCTCTACCATCAAGTCCATGCATCTGAAACAGTTAACTGGCTAACTAATCAATACCTGACTTGGACTGGTAAGTGGACGAGAGGCCGTGGTTCACTGTTTCGAAAATTTAACATGTGTGATGCACTTGCTCGTTCACCTAAAATAACTCACATTATAGTATTAATAAAAAAGACGAATCTTATTTGAAATGAAAGTGAAAAAAACGTCCAAAAAATATGCCACAACTCGCATTGTTTTTTTACAACTTGAATGAACACCAGACAGCATAAATACATGAGAAATCAACTTACTTCCTGCTGTCGAAACAAAGAAAAGCTCAGAAGGAACACCATTGCCCCCAGCACTGTATCCCCTCACTCTGACGTTGAACAATGAATTGTTCGCGACGGAAAAACTTATCTTGTTTTCTGTTGTTACATGGTTTAGTGCTGTTGCTGAGGTTTTGTTAGACCACCAATACTCAACCTGTGTGGAATTGGAAATTTTTTTTATATTTATGGCTAGGGGGAAGGAAAGCTAATCAGATGACATAGTAATGTGGTGAACCATTGCATCTCTGCATTGTTGTGTTTATCCTGAAGGGTATAAAATCCCTGAGAGAGAATGGTCCCTCAGTGAGATGGGTTACTGATATGTTGGTTTTTCATTTCAGCATGGATTTCCATATTAGCGTGGGGGGGGAGTAAATCAGATTCAGATATTTATTTTCATTGTGCAAAAATAAATGTAAAGCATTAAATGTACATGATAAAATAAAAAAAACTAACAAAAAGCGGAAAACATTGATTTATAGCAATTGATGGGCGCCAAAGACTCGGTGATTAAAGTCAATCAAACAGTTATATGGCCAAGGCATTAAATTTCATTTTTGCGCAAGCTAATGAGTCGATAAGACGGCTGAGTGATATGAAAACCACAGCCTTGTGTCTAGTTACCGGGCAATTTGGAACAGTTAACCAGGTATTTGTTCAGACGGATGGACATGATTGAATTAAAACATATTAGTGAGAAAATGAGGACAGCTGAACAAGATTCGGTATTTCCAAATAAACAATAGCTTCATGCATATCGTGAAATATATGTTGCCGCTTGTATAGAACCTTGTTTTGAGGAAAAGGCATGGATAGGTATCGTATCAAAAACCTACCTTGTAACCCAGCAAAGGAGATTCATCGATCCCTTGCCCATCTCCGTAAAGAATTGGCTCCCATTTAGCAGAAAGAATATTTTGTTTTATCGAAACTTCAACTTTCTTTGGTGCAACACTCGGCGGTTTCTTCTCAGTGTTGAAGCGGAAAGCCTCGCTCCATGGTCCTTGACCTGTTGTATATAGAAGGATCTTCCTTTTTATTACAAGTCAAGTTTATTTTTTCCAACCAGTAAAAAGACAAAAATCACGCAAAAAGTAAGGAAAATTGATATCTACATTACCGGGGAAGAGAAGTCGCTGGGAACCTAAACTGGTTATTGAGCTGCGGCACAAAAAAGAAAGGTTGGTCCGACAATGAAAATTACATGTTATTCATTTCTGATGAATGTGCTTTTTTATTTTTAATCCCCCCCCTCCCCACCCCCCATCACCCAGACAAGAGCGTAGCCAGCACAAAAGACGCGAGAATTTATGTCTCACTGGGAATGCCGCAAATTTGCATTTAAAAAAATGTTGCAAATGGGGGGGGGGGCATGACTCCTCAGCCTCCCCCCTGGCTTCGTCTATGCACCCAGGGTGCAACAAGTTTGGTAAGCAATGCCAAACTGGAGATTCCAGTTCAACCAAATATAGTTTTTTACATTTGAGAATCTACTTAAACGGGGCCTAGTTCAGGAAGAAATGAAAGAATAATTGTTTTGAAAAAAATCCAAAAATATCTTGTGACCTGTCGTGACCTAAAGCAGTACACGACAATGACTCAGGTAAGAGTATGACTAGGCAGAAAAATTACTGCAGCCAGTAAACAGATAAAGTTAAGAATACCAAAATATGCAATAAATAGGGTGTCCATAAATTGACACATAAAAAACGAATCTCTCCAAGTCCACAGAAATTTTTGAAATAAGTAAAAGTACTGGCATAAAAATCAATCTTTAACCACTGAAAATTTCAAAGCAATTGGTCCAGTATTCGAAGAGAAAATCTATTTCATCATGACGAAAGAGAAGAATACTACTAACAAGAACAACAACATAATATTGAAACGATCGTTATGTACACTGACGTGTCCAAAACCATCATACCAGGTTAGAATATATTGAGAGCTGACTTCGTGAAAGGGACTTTATGGATTCTCTGTATTATTTTATTTCCTAGGCTAGTGAGGGGGGGGGGGGAGGATTGGGTTGCCCTGCTTCACCCATGTTGGGGTTAGCGGTGAATCATTAGGTGCAAGGTAAATCACTGGGGTCGCAGCAGGACTTTATGGACATCCTGTTAATTTTATAAAAAAAAAAACATTACCTGCCCCATTGAAGGCAGCTACATAAGCATGGTATACTGTGTTTGCTTCCAAGTTTTCAACACGGACCCTCGGAACTCCTTTTTTGGTTTCTAGGATTTGCTCTTCGCCAACTGCTGGTGCAACCGGGACAATTTTTACCTGAAAAAGCAGTTTAAGATTTACCCTGGAAAGAGAGAGAGGAAAGTTGATGAGACTGTATTTTATTGACCTCAAGACACACTTTAAATCGGTGATTTCCAAAGTTAATTGACTGGGGGCAAAATTTGAAGCGAAATTATATTTGCGGGCCGAGAGGATCCGATACCGGTACCAGTGCGTATAATTAAGAGATGGGTGTAATTGAATCGTTACGACGTTACGGCCAATATTTGGAGAATTTGTATGGTGACCTATATATCCACATGGTTACAACTAAAAAACAGTATTCAGGAATAAATCATTTCGAAATGAGGCACAGTCGTCGACAGATTGCGCCAAATCAAGTTTTTTTATCCAATCAGTCAAAAAATCACTCAAGCGCAAATTTCAAAAAATGAAAAAAATACGGCCAATATGTGGATCTTTTTTGTTTAGAAATCGCATTCATTTTTGCATTGCTTCCTTTTTTAATTACTGCTTTACAGTTTTAACCTTTTTTGGAAAAACTTTAGTCGACTATTCTCACCTTATATCCCTGCACTCTTCCAGTGGTTGCAATCATTCTTGGCCACATCAAATTGGCCGTGTATGCCGTCCAGGATTTCAGAGAGATACCTCCGGGTGCAAGATCAGGACCTGAACAAAATGAGTATTTTTTTTTATGAAATGTTTTTTTTCTACTATTATGACTATTGCCAACCGAATTGACCTAGCAATTCTGTAGGGCAGGGGTCGGCAACCTTTTGTCGCTTGCGGGCCAAAATTAAAGGTTGCAAGTCATTTGCGGGCTGCACATATTTATATATAGTTAAAATACGAACAGATGGCCAATGCATCACATTTTATTACACAGATCAGAAGTTAAATTTTGAGCAGCGCGCGAAGACTGACCATTTGAATATTTTCTGCGCCATTAAACCATTTGCACTTAGTATCAACTTTTCAGCGCTTTGTTGCCGTTTGTCTAAATTATAATTAAATTATATGCTCATTAAGCGAGTAATTGTGAATTATATACTTGTTACGTTATAATATAATTTAGTCTACACGTAAATTCTTTTGCGTAAAAAATACAATCGACAAAACAACTATAATTTATTACTATAATTCACTGAAGCGTCGCGGGCCGGATTATATTGCTCCGCGGGCAGGATCCGGATACTCAGCACTGCTGTATTCACGACCAAAATTTCAATCTATCTGTGGCTATTTCATTCCATTTTATTCTATGTAAATATGTGTAGCGCATTGAATATTGTTTTGCAAGGGCTGGTGCTCGTAGCCAAGAATTTTCAAAAGGGATCTGAAATTTGTAGTTGCCAGGTTAGACCCGACCAAACAGCTAGCAGTTCGACAGTATAAATATTCATTTACTTCTGAATGAGTGCGCTTGGTTTGAAGAAGTTTTCATAAATAAAAACACCCAAATCTCACTAAAACTTTTACTTCATTTCCCCCTCTTATTTTAGAAAAATATAAATATAAAATCAGCAACTTACTTATTTCGAAAGTTGTGACAACCTTAATGGGGCTCCATGGTCCTTCTCCTAGTTCATTATCAGCTCGGATTTTAACATTGTAAGGCTTGTAGACTTCAGACTCCTCCACCTGGTTAGAAAGAGACGATATTGAAGAATAGATCATTTTAAAATGATACCCAGTGGCCGGTACATTGTGCTAAGCCAGTTGTTCTTAACCTTTTACTGGCCGCGAACCACTTTTGTACTTTTTACTTTGGCCGCGTACCACCGACAAAACCCCCTTTTGGGATGGGGAACAATGGCACAAGAAACGTGCTATGGTAGTATTTTATGTGGCTCTACATTCATTTCAGATTTTCGTGCAAAGTTTCAACATATTAATTTTATGAAGAAACAAGGTGTTAATTGTGTGCAAAATCACGAGAGAATTTGTGTGGACTGCCCTCAGGACTGAACGCTTTGTCTATCGTCTCGTTACGGCGATCTCAAGACAAGAACTGCTAGCGCTATAAACCTGTTGTCGCCATATTTTAGCCAACTCAAAAGTTAATTGTTGCAATAATTCAAACTGCTCGCGTACCACTTGAAAAGCTTCTGTATGGTGTGCATACCACAGGTTGAGAACCTCTGTGCGATAGCGATAGGAATACACATGCCAAGTCAAGTTTATTTTTTCAACCAGCAGAGAAAATCGCTCAAGCACAAATTATCAGAAAATGATAATTACACAGTTTTACAAAAAAAGGAAATTTTGTGAGTTACCTAAGCTGGTTACCGAGCGGCGACACCAAACGTTCTAAAATCGAATTCACAAAGTTTGGATTTTTAAAGTTTTAAAACTGCTGATATTGACGATGAGTTCCGTATGAATTGTCCAATTAACTCTACAATATTCAGGAATAAATCATTTCAAAATGAAGCCCAGTCGTCGACAGAGTGCACCAAGTCAAGTTTTTTATCCAACTAGTTAAAAAATTACTCAAGCGCAAATTACGGAAAATAAAAAATGATTGTACGGTGCAGAAGTCAGGAATTATCATTGTATAAAAAAATACTTGGAAAGTATAATTCTCTGTCTTTCCGCCAGGTACAGTTGTATATTGCCAAACATCTTCATTCTCCTCTGTATCATTGCCACTAGATGGCGGTAGCATTAAAACAACACCCTCCCCTTCTGGAAACTTCTCGATAGCTATGACATATTCAATGTTGTCTGAACCATAAAACTCCTCTGAGAGCGGCTGAAATAAGAGATGGAAATTATTTATTAGGGAGTTGGAGAGAGGAGGAGATATAGATCAGTGATTGATTCCCAAACTCAGAGGCGTGGCGCATCATTCAAAGGCGTTAGAAATACGCTGCCACCGCACCCTTTGATTACCTTGAGTGGGTTTGCAGGTTCGAATTCAGTAGCGGAGAATCATGTGCGAATGGATTGCTGGACTGCTAGCAGCCATGCAGCGATTCATGTAACCGCTGGTCGGATACAGCTTCCCCCACTATCAAGTCCATGCTTCCACAAAAAAATAATTGGCTATCTCATTCCATACCCTACATCAGGGGTTCCCAAACCACAGTCCACCGGCCAAATCCGGTCCGCGTAACGGCGGTGTGGCTCATCGTGCTAAGCGTTAGGATTACGCTCGCCCCCGCACCTCTGATAACTCTTCGTGGGTTCGCAGGTTCGAATCCCATAAATCCCTTACCTGACATGGACTGGTAATAAGATGAGAGACCGTGGCTCGACATATGATTAAGCCGTCTTATTCACTTTTCTCTCTCCCGGGATAAATATATAAATCCTATCTAAGCTGTGCAACATTACCTATCAGCTCTTAGCGGAGAAATAACAATTTCGAATGATGTACCCGCAAAACGAGTGTTTATTCTTTTTCGTCGCAAAGCCCATACCAGTCATATTAGCAAAACAAGCTAGCTAAATTCTGTTGCAAAATACACGATTTATATTACAAAAACGTGTTTCTCACTGCATTCGTTTGAAGTCGGTGTGACAAAAAAGTCAAATAGCAGTTTCTTCAGAAGTTTATGCGTTTTAAATCTACTATTTCTGCAAGAACCCCTAATAGGGCCGTAAGAGCAATAGCAAATATAGGCAATTTTTGTGCTTGCAACCTCCAGAAAGCCTAAATTAAATAAAGGTGCGGCCCGCGGCTTCACCCAGTTACTTGTATTTGGCCCGCCAATAAAAAAGGTTGCACACCCCTGTATTATAGTATTGCAGTGAGTAAAAATTGCGGCAATTGAATTCCAAATACCTCCTACTTTGGGTATCAAAATCAAAGTTTTTTTTAGTCAAAGGGAGGGGTAATACCCTGTCTTACCTTCCATTTGACAACAAGTTGTCCAATGTTTCCTCCTCCGCCCCCGATCCTCCTGGGTGGTTTAGCTGGGGCTGAAAATAAAAAGATTCAGTTGGTTAGGATGAATCAATAAACTTAATGGATACTTCAGAATAAGATTGGAAAATGGGATAAAATAGCTCAATATATAGCGGGACACTGTATCTCGTCCGATTACCAGTCCATGTCGGATATGGAATTAGTTAATTAGTTATTTCTTTTCGGATGCATGGACTTGATGGTGCAGGAAGCTGTAACTGACCAGTAGGGCTGGGCATTTCGAATCGAATATTCGAATCGAATCGAATAGTAAATTATTCGAATCGGTTCAAAGCGAAATTTCGAATCGCCGCCATCTTGTTTTTTTCCTTTCCGCCAATTGTCGAGGTAAATTTCTAAATTTTTTTTTATGGAAGTCATATTTTTCAACGCAATTCTGACATATGACTCATTTCTGTGGTGAGTTATTGATGAAAACGTATTTTTTATTGTGTGTGAACGCTCAGCAATCTGTCTGAGTGATATATTTTACGTTTATAGTAATTTATGTGTCTGGAGGACCAAATACAAGAAGACAGTTACATACAATTATATATCTCCCAAGTATTCGAGATTCGATTCGATCCAAAAAAATATTCGATTCGATTCTGAAATCATCAGGTATTCGAAAATGCCCAGCCCTACCGACCAGTGATTACATGAACCACTCACTCTACAGCAACGACGAGTCCGGCCCCCATCTCCCCCCCAGACAAATATAATTCACACCCGCTAAAACACTGAAACCATTCTCACCTCCTTTCTGAGTGTTAAAAGTTGTTGAGTCCTCACTCAGTTCTCCTCTTCCTAAGGCATTGGTTGCAGAGATCTGGTAGACATAGTCATTGTAAGGGAAGAGATTCTTCACCACACATTCATTGGTGACAACGACTTCTGGGTCTGTAACAATAAAATGTTTATATTTTCACTATGCTGGTAATGCGAACTGAACATATAAAATGTAATTAGAAACTGAAAGACAACCATATTCTAGAGCAGGAGTGGGCAAACTTTTAAACAAAGAGCCAAAAACTTTGCCCACCTTGACACCTGACGGGCCATGTAAGTGTGACGTAAAAAGTTATATTTCATGAACAAAATTTACACTGTTACAAAAGCAAAAATGGAAAAAATAAGCCTCGTGCTCAAGTTAAAACTTAAAACAAAATTGCAATCCCAAACAAATTTCTTGAGCTATTTCTCAGCCAAAATATCAAAATTTGATTTTCCAAAGAAAAGTAATAATGAAGAAGAGAACAAAATGACAGTGAGAACAACAATTTAGTTCAAAAAATAAATTATTAGAAAATACGAGAATGGTGTTTGAGTGTTTGGTCTTGCCATGATATTCATTTGAATAGTTATTGTTGTTTAGGTACACGTTTTGTTAATATTTCGAATAGGTTGGAATGCATAGGAACGTATTGAAATATCCATTGTTTCTTACGGCAAATAAGTTTTGCTATTTGAACACAAATTTCGAAGAAATATGTTCAACTACTGAATATTAAAAAGAAATGAATTGAATAAGTTGAAGTGGCGACCAGGGGCAGATCAGACAATAACAAAATATGTTTCAATGGGAGACCTGATCCTGTTTAATCCAACGCTTTATTGGAGGTAAAAATGGCAAAGCGTTAAAAAAGTAGACTTACCAGTATCTGCAATTCTCCATATTGAGTTATATGAGTTCTTGTACGCAATGGTATAACTGGTAATCTCAGCATGGTTGTCAAATGGTACGGACCAGGTCAATTTCTGTGTTGTTGAAGTGCTACCTAAGACTCTGATTTCTGTCGGTGCGTCCGGAGGAGCTGAAAATTTTTGATTTATTAGTAATAAGGCCTGAGCCAGGAAAGGGATGTGAGTTTGAAACCAGTGGTGTTTAGATATAAGTTTATTTTGACTCCATAATCAGCGTAAAAGACGATAAAATAATTGATAAAAACAAAATAAATTTTAAATTTATTAGTAATAGGGCCTGAGCCAGTTGTACCAATGCTGTACTTTAGGTTTTGGTTCGGAGGGAAGAGACATTGAACCAAAATAAAAATTAAACAGAAAAAAAGTGATACTATAGTGTTGTAATAATACAACTATAGATTTGAAAAGGACTTTTCCGAGAATAAAATCCTATTCAAAATCTTTGCCTAATGCTTATGTATTTGCTATCATAATGTTCATTGCATTTATTAATAAGGGTAGCTGGATTAGTTGCCAATGTGATATTTCGGGCAATGTTCACAACCTGCCACTGCATTCCGTGTCAATCATCATCAGTTCATTAATTATTAACAGGAAAACGTTTTGTGATAGTGTTTTAGTGTTCCCCGATTCTAATCAGATCCCTTGGCACTGAACCTTCTTAAAATCGCACATTTTGTTCGGATAACCTGATACCCGCCATATTATTTTAAAAGGGAAAGGCTTTTTATGAACTTGCATCGATATTTCTTTGAGCAAAGGGTTTAAAACCGCTGGTGTTTTTCAGGTTTCGGGAAGGGGGTTCACAAAGGGTTGGTCATGATCAGTCATCTGTGACTGATGACATCACAGGTCATGCTTGACAACATTGGTCAGTAAGGAACAATGGGTTTTCATTGTGGGATTTTAAAAATGGGGTAAGTCTGGGGTAAGTAACAATGTGTTTTTATTTTCATAAACTTATTTTGAGACTTTGAAAATTGGGTGAGTAACAATGGGTTTCATTTTTATAAACTTATTGTGGGGCTCTAAAAATGGGGTAAGTCAAGGGTAAGTAACAATGTGGGGCTCTATAGATGGGATAAGTATAAATGGGTTTCATTTTCATAAACTTATTGTGGAGCTCAGAAAATGGGGTAAGTCTGGGGTGAGTAACAACTAACAATGTGTTTTTGTTACTGATCAAGGTCATCAGTCATGTAGAAAAATGCTAGTTGCCAGAAATACAATAATGATACAGTTAATATTGACCATTCACCTGTAACAGAAATTTTGGCCGATCCGCATGGTGTCCCAACTTTAGTCTCAGCGCAGCATTTGTAATTTCCACTAACCTTACTGCTGGTTGATGGAATCTGTTTATTAGAATTTTAATTTGACACAATTTAGAACACATTAAAAAATTTTATTTTGTTGTTCGTCTATGATTTGTTCACATTTACTTTTTTGACTTTGTTACACCCAGGGGCGTGTCCACCCAAGTTTCTGACAATGATGCCCTTTATATTAAATTTCAAAGTAATTCGACGGATAATTATAGATGTCGTCATACAAGAGGAGAGTTAAATAAGCAAAACTTGATACGTACTGTTAATCCCCCTCCATTAATTTGATAAACTTGTCCGAATGGGTCGTTAATTTCATTTTCATCGTGATACCATCTCCAGCTCAAGGTCAAAGAGGGGTCAAAGGTCGCAGAGCAATATAATTCAGCAGGTAATCCATTCTGCACTGAAACGTCTGATGGGAAGGTTGTGATCTGTGTTGCCTCTGAAATAAAATTAGGTGTTTATTTTGAGCACTCTTCATGTTTCTGGTTACTCTCATCGGCTGCTGTCGCTGTTTGAAAACCTAACCAGAACCTCGCGACTCCTGTTGTGCAATTAACGTTACTTGTTTATTTATTTTTTGTACCAATCTTTGTGCATTTGTTTTTTGTGACGACAAATAAGTGATTGACTGACTGGGTTCACAGGTTCAAATTATGTGAAGAATAATTATGTGCAGAAGGGTTGCTGGAATCTTAATCGGACTTCATTGCTGGACTTTACGTCTCCCAGGCCTTTGTCGGATGGTTTGTAAGTCGGTTATCGCTTTTCTACTATGTCTACTGGTAGATCTTTATCTCTACTTTTCTACTAGTCCATAACTGGCTAACTATTCACATACGTGTGGCTCAACGGGCTAAGCGTTAGGAATACGCTTGCCACCGCACCTCTAATTACTCTGCGTGGGTTCGCAGGTTCGAATCCCATGCAGGGATGGTTATGTGCGAGAGGATTGCTGGACTCCTCGCCGTCGTTGGGTGGTTCACGTAACCGCTGGTCGGTTACGGCTTCCTCCACCACCAAGTCCATGCTTCCGAAAACAAACAATACAATAAAACTAATCCCATACCCGACTTGGAATGGTAACCGGACGAGAGGCTGTGGTTCGCCATATGGATAAGTCGTCTTATCGGCTTTCCTCTCCCCCCCCCCCCCCGGGATAAATATGTAAATCCTATACTATCCTATACCTATACACAACATGGATTGGTAATCTGAAGCCATGGTCCATAATATGATTGATTCCGCGTCCTAGAAATTCGCTGAAGAAAATTTCGTCGTTGGAAATTTCGTCGTTGGAAAATTAGCCACATTGAAAAATTGCCGCAAGTATTTGTGATAAAAAGAGTTATCCTTTTTATTTAAAAAGGATTTGTTATTTAAGAGCATACTCTAACCCTATTAATCTAACTGTTTTTATCGCAATTACTTGTTTTACAGCTAAATGCTATTGCAGTAATTTTTAACACAGCGATTTTTCCAATGCGTGAAATTTCTTGCTTCAAGATTTACTACATCAAAATCTCCTGTGAAGAATATTCCTAGAACCAATGGAGTCATCCTAACGTCTTTCAAAAACTCCTTCTAAAATCTGAAAAAATTCAAACTCACGTTTCGCAACCAATGTTGTTGATCCTTCATCAGATCCAAGAGTATTTGTGAGTTTGCAAGTATAAGACGCTTCGTCCTGAATGCCAACGTCGTTTATAACTAGTGAATGGAATTCCCCGAATATGTACCTGAAAAAAAATTGAAATAGAACTGGACTTCTAATACATGTTTTCATCGCAAATTGATTTTAGGCTTGGCAGTGTGGCTCATTGTGCTAAGCTTTTGGAATACGCTCGCCACCGCAACTATGATTACTCTGCGTTGGTTCATAGGTTTGAATCCCATGCGAGGATAGTTATGTGCGAAAGGATTGCTGAACTCCTCGTCGCCGTAGGGTGGGTAGTTAACGTAACTGCTGGTCGATTGCAGTTTTGTTCACCATCAAGTTCATACATCTGAAACAAATAACTGGTTAACTGACATGGATTGATAACCTGACGAGAGACCGTTTTTCGCCATATGATTAAGCCGTCTTATCGGTTTTCTTCTCTCGCAGGATAGGTATGTAAATCTTATCTTATCTAATGACCCCTATGGGACAAATTTTAATGTGCAATTCTGACAAATTTTATTTCTAATGAGTTATTGTTGAAACAAGTTTCTTGTTGTGTGTGAACACATAAACTGTCTGAGTGTTAGATTATGTGTTTTTAGAAATTTATGTGTCTGGAGACTGATTTGAGAAAAATATTAGATTTAATTCTGTAATTATATATTCGAAAATGCCCAGCCCCCAAAAAAACTGAACAATTAACTGTGTAAAATTTAAACAGAAAGTTACAGCACTTACTTTGTTCCATTATTTGAGAGTTCGTCGAAGTCGTCCCTCAACCATTCTACCTCAGCGGCTGGAGCAGCGGTGTGCGGACACTCGATGGTTACTGGACCTCCTATAGCAGCGTATATCAAGGCTTGCATTGGGGGGTCAATAACTGGGAGGTAAGCTGGAATAAAAATTTAAAATTTATCTGTAGAAGATTGTGATCTACAGCAGGGCACTTCAAATTGGGGCCCCAACCCCTGGTGGGTCACAAAAGGGCTCGGTGGGGGTTGGCATTAGGGGGTCAATTACTGGGGGGTTGGCTAAAATAAAAATTTAAAATTTATCTGTAAAAGATTGTGATCTACAGCAGGGCACTTCAAATTGGGGTCCCAACCCCTGGTGGGTCACAAAAGGGCTCGGTGGGGGTTGGCATTAGGGGGCAATTACTGGGGGGTTGGCTAAAATAAAAATTTAAAATTTATCTGTAAAAGATTGTGATCTACAGCAGGGCACTTCAAATTGGGGCCCCAACCCCTGGTGGGTCACAATATGGCTCGGTGGGGTCACGAAAGCGCTAAGTGAAGTGGCAGTAAACTCTTTATAACACTAACTTATGTTAGGATAAAATATGGATTCTGTTAGATTTTCCTAAGAGTGCCACTGCTTGATAACCAGAATTAGTTTTTGGCGTCACTCTTCAGCTTGAAGTGTAATTTTTTATATCTTCCTTTTCAATTTGTGTATGTATACTGTATTCGTATTTTTAACATGGTGAAAAAATGAATTACCGATTTCTAATTAAGGACCCCGAGAATCAGCGTTCTGTGCCCCTCTAGGGGGCTGAAGGCCCAGCATAAGAAAAAAGTACAACGCCAAACTAAATTAATTATGACTTACAGTTAACATGCAGCACTGAGCTCGAGACAAGATTTCCGAAACTATTCTCCACCAAACATTGATAAACCCCTGCATGGCTCTCATCCAGTTTTTTTATAATTAGTATGGTGGAGTCTTCCATGACCTGTACATGAAATAGAATAACAAATGATTTCCGACGCTTCAGAAGTACCAATATCGGTATGTGTACCAATATGAATATAACTAATTTTGTTTGCATGCTTCACATCAATTTGTGTAAAGGGAATAAAAGCTATGGGCAGGGGGTACATATTTACTTGGTTAAGACAGATAGTCCCTAAACTCGTATTAGAACTAAAATAAGGAAAATCGTTATAAAATTATGGCATAATCTGGTACACATAATATGGGAGTACGTAATTTACAAATTTACCCAGGGGGACAGGAAAGGCGATACGACTGCTTAATAATATAAGCAACCTCGGCTTCTCGTGCGGTTACCATTTCATGTTGGATATGGGATTAGTTGGTTATTTGTTTTCGGAAGCATGGACTTGAAGGTCGAAGAAGCTGTAACTTGAGAATCACCTAGAATTACACCTTGAGTCTGCTAGTAGGCTGTAGTTTACCCTGTGATTAATCTATCTCATCAACTTTTCCCAAGATAGATATTCGAAAATCGGCGCTCTCGTAGTATGTGCATCAAGATGGCAGACACCGTAACATAGTATGTGTACCAGGTTAGGGTCAGGCAATAATTTTATCAAATCATAAGTTAACCCCTTGGCTTCAATAAAAAACACACACCTTCAATTGACTGGAATCTATTTCCTCCAGATTTTTATACCAAGTGTACGCAGGTTTAGGAAGACCAGTTGCAGAACATGTCATGGACAAACTGCTTTCTAGATCAGCTGATATCGATTCTATTTTTTGTATCCATTCTGGAGGATCTGAACAATAAAAATAAGATTAGAAATTGAAGTATTTGTGCCGTGAAAAAAGGGCGTTGTTTGGTGCATAGGCGTAGCCGTTGCATTTTTTTCAAATACAATTTTGTGGCATTTGCAGTAAGACATAAATTTATACGCCTTTTACATGGTTCATATTTATCCCGGAGGAGAGGAAAGCCGATAAAACGACTTAATCATATGGCTTCTCATCCGATTACTAATCCATGTCAGGTATGGGGTTGGTTAGCCTGTTATTTGTTTTCCGATGCAAGGACTTGACGTGAACCATTCTTCGGGGGCATAGAGTCCAGCAATCTTCTCGCATATAACTATCCAATGGGAATCGCATGGAATTCGAACTTCATGATTGTACGTGTCATCCTTACGCAATTTTTTCATAGGTACACCCGAAAACAGGAATTCGAACTTGCGAACACTCGCATGGTAAATAAAAGTGCAGTGGCAAGCACATTCCTAACGCCTAGCGTGATGCGCCACTTCGCCGGGTCGAAAAATCTGCCGAGCTGGAAAAGATTTCATTCCTCCTGGAAATAGTAACTCTATACATATTGTTAGGTATCAGTGGCATCTTGTAGAAGACCTGTTTAGAGCAGATTAAGAATTAGGATCAAGAAAAAGGTTCTCTCACAGTCTACATCAATTCTGGCTTCGTTAGAAGTCACGGATCCAACGCTGTTGGTCGCAGTGCATATGTACGTTCCATTTGCGTCGTCGGGCACTTCATCAAAATATAACTGCCCTGAATTTGATATTTTAGCTGATTCCGGCATTTCTCCGTCCAATTTCTCCCACTGTATTTCAGGTGCAGGGCTTGAAATAAGAATAATTTTGTTGCAATGTTGTGTAAACTAATGATTGTGAGTGCAGAGTTAGAAATGAAATTATTTTTGTTTAAAATGATTGGATTGGATAGAATTTACATATTTATCCCGGGGGAAAGTTAGCTGGAAAGTACCATTCCATGTCGGGTATGGGATTGATAAGTTACTTGTTTTCGGATGCATGGACCTAATGGTGGAGGACGCCAATTTGAAACCAGGTAGATGCTGGATACCGTAATCAGCAGTTGTGTTAGCTAAACAGTGAGTAGCCAATGCCAACTTGGACTATAGACTTTTTATAGAATAGTTGAACATACTATATATACTCGTCGATAGGTCGCGACACCGTATAGGTCGCAATATTAGTTTTGTGTTGAAAATTTTTTATTTTGAATTGACTCGCACATAAGTCACACTGAAAATCTAGGGACTTAAAAGGCCCTTTCCCTAGCATACATGAATTCCGTTTTTGCATAGATGACTTCCTTATTTTTTCGTAGGGCTTAATATAATCAAAATATGTTTATCTGTGAGCAATAATAAGTGCAAAACTTTCAATTTTCATCCGACTTGGTGGCGATTTGCACTTATGTCAAGTGGATTGGTCGCACCTATATTTTTTTTTTTAAATATAAGAAAAAAATTTGCGACCTATCCGCTAGTATATACAGTAAGCATAAACATTGGATTGGATGCTATTAAAAAAAATATTTTTCAACGGACATAGAGGACATAGTGGTTAAAAGGACCTCCAGAAGTATGCGCACCAAGATGGCGCACAACCTGAACATAGTATGTGTACCAGGTTTGGGTTCAGGTTATGCGACATCTTGGTGCACATACTTCAGAAGCACCCGTTAAAGAGATAGACTCCACGTCCTCAACAGGGTATAATGAATTTGGCAGACCTGCGGTTCACAAACTTTTGGTGTTATGGAGTCTGTAAAAAGGTTGAATATTATTTACAGAGCCCTACAATGAATTTATATAAATAAAAAGGGCTCCATACAAAGCCCCAAAGCCCCATAAGATAAACCTAGGGGCTCCGTTACCTAATAAAATACTGACTTGGCTAATTTTGTAACTGTCCAAATATGCAATAATGGCATTAATATAATTTGACAAATACAGTTATTAAATAAAATAATTATAATTTACTCAGGCAAAGAATGTTTTTTTTTGTTTTCAAAAACTTATTGTGGTGCTTCGTAAATTATAGTCAACCTTCTCACGGGCTCCATAACACCAAAAGTTCGAGAAATCCTGCCTTATTGAACTGCTAATATAGCAGTCTACTTACTTTCCCTTGGCAAAGCATTCGAGATAAGTCTTTCCGTGGAATTCAACTGCTGTCACAGAATCAGGTGTCACCATGAATTCAGGAGGAAATTCAGCATCTGTAACAGGAATATCAAATTATGTTTTTATGGCTCGTGGCCCCTCTACAGAGGCTACACTCATGGCGGCGATCCAGAAGTGTGTGTAACAATATGGAGGTAACAAATTTTTTTCGCCTACTTCACATCAAGTTGTGTAGAAGGCCTGAAGCCTATGGACAGGGAGATAATCACTTGGCTAACACAGTCAGTCCCCGAACTCGTAATAGAACTAAAATAGGGAAAATCGAAATAAAATTATGCCCTAATCCCTAACCTGGTGCACATACTACGGGATTAGCCTCATGGCTCTCTTTTTGTCCTTCCAGTGGTATTCAGAGTGTCATTATGATTGGTATATTTCAAATCCCATTATGTTCAAACAATTCATGCTCAACACAGAATAAAAACACAGTGAAATAACCTTACCAAGCAATGGAACTAGGAAGAACAAGAAGTATTCTTGTAAAGGGAAAGGCAAAGGGAGATTAGTTTAGCAATGTAATTTTATGTGAGGGGGCAGTGCATTCTAAACTCTTAACACGATGCGCCACTGTTAAACACATCGCTATGTGGTCTGATCTGACATGATGCGCCACTCCACGGGGACATTAAAGCACTTGTATATAAGACGCAAATGGTACTGGTTCTAAGTGTGGGTGATGGGGCTTAAAGCACTACCTGAAACATACATTAGCAAGCGCGGCGGTGTGGCTCAACGGGCTAAGCGTTAGGAATACGCTCGCCACCGCACCACTAACTACTCTGCGTGGGTTCGCAGGTAGCCTAAATGGTACCACCAAGTCCATGCTTCCGAAAACAAAAACAATACAGTAAAACTAATCCCATACCCGACTTGGAATGGTAACCGGACGAGAGGCCGTGGTTCCCCATATGGATAAGCCGTCTTATCGGCTTTCCTCTCCCCCAGGATAAATATGTAAATCCTATCCCTCCTAGACTATCCTATTAGGCGCACGACTTACTAAGCACACAATCAAATTTTAAAAAAAATCGATTTAAAGTACGTCTCATGATCAGTAAAACGGTAGTTCTTTAAATATAACTAGCCGTTAGTTAATATCAAAAGCTTATCTTTTTACACTCATGAGATAGGCTTTCTAATGGTCTATGGCAAGGGTTGGCAACTTTCGTCACTCGCGGGCCAAAATTAAAGTTTGCAAGTCATTGGCGGGCCGCACATATTTTTAGAAAGTTAAAAACCGAACGGATGGCCTATGAATCACATTTTTTTTTATACAGGTCAGAAATTGATTGTTAAGCAGTGCGCACTTATTGACAATTTGAATAACTTTTGCGCTATTAAACCGTTTGCACTTTGCATCAATTTTTCTGCGTTTTGTTGCCATTTGTATAATTATAATTAAATTATAGGTTCATTAAACGAGTAATTGTGAATTATATACTTGTTAGGTTATAATATAATCTCAATAAATTGTGTAACGTAAAGAATATAATCGTCAAAACAGCTGTTTCGTTACTATAATTCAGCAAAGTGTCGCGGGCCGTAGGTTACCGACCCCTGGTCTATGGTTACCATAAGTGTGTGCGTCTACCGGTAGATACTGTCAGCCGTTGTGAATGCGCAATTACTTTGCAATTCGTCATAAAGAGATTTAATATAATTAACCTAGAAGAAGAGAAGTTCTGGGCAAAAGGCGTATAAATTTGCTGTTTCAAATAAATACCGTACCTGAATTTACGACAGTTAAAGACACTTCGTTTGCTGATTTAACCACCGAATGTCCATCATCAGTCTTCCACAGAGATTTTGCAAAACAAACCCATTTCCCTGAGTCCTCCTCTGTTGGGTTGGACAAATATAGGTTGCCAGTTTTTTGGGAAATAAATTTTGTGGGTTCGCCATTGGGGCCGATTGTTTGAGATATATCTTCCTTCTGCCAGAAGAAGTAGATGCTATACCCTGAAAAAATAATTTTTTGATGGTCAACTTCAATTTTTCAAACTTTTTTTTTTATAAAAAGTTTATTTTATCACTGATAATACCCTTTTTATAAAGACTATGAAGAAAAAATGAAAAATGTAACAATGGAATTTTAGGGTGAAGAGAGATGTGAAAAACCAATCTTGGGTATGGACTATGGACCACCAACTGGAATTATTCCAATACGGCAAGGTTATTTACAATACAATATACAATACAATTAATTTCTGCATTCTGAAAACTCAACACTCACCAAATTAACACAAATAATACCAATTATTATAAAAAAAGACTTGAAAAGCAGCAGTGAGACCCTCGCATTTCATGTTATAGGTAAAATGAGGCACACGAACGATATGAAAAAAAAAATGACAAAGTTCATAGTGTCACTCTTCCTCGCTGCCGTAAGATGGTTCACATTACCACTGGTCGGTCACGGCTTCCTCCATCACCAAGTCCATGCTTCCGAAAACAAATAACTAAGTAATCCTATACCCAACATGGAATGGTAACCGGACGAGAGACCGTGGTTCGTCATATGGTTAAGCCGTATTATCAACTTTCCTCTCCTCGGGATAAATATGTAAATCCTATCCTATCCTAAAAGGAACCATCTGTTTGCTCAACATCAAAATATAATTTGCTATTTCTGTTACAGAGGATGAGTTTCCCCCTGTATTCATGGTGTCTCCTGATGTTCTGACAGCAGTTGAAATCCACGGAAAGACTTATCTCGAATGCTTTGCCAAGGGAAAGTAAGTAGACTGCTATATTAGTGGTTTCAATAGGGCAGGGGTTGTGAAACTTATGGTGTTATAGAACCTGTGAGGAGGTTGACTAATATTTAAGGAGTCCCAGAATAAATTTTAAACAAACAGTATTTACCTGGTGCGTAGTCGAAATCTCCGCACTCCAACTCAGCTCCAATGGCTTGATTTGTATTTATTGTAATCTGGTTTGAAAACGACATTCCTTCTAAGTCTGAAATGAAAATACATGTTTATTTGTCTCGTAACCTTGCCCTTAACTTACGTTCGCTATTATTTTCAATGACCAGGCCGTTTTATCTTTTCCTCTTTATTATGTACATTATATAGATGTAATAGTTTGTTTGTATTCCTCATTAGACTCTATCAATTTTTCGTAAGTGTCTCCTAAATTGCATTTGCTGTAAATATTTTCGATTTACTGTTTGCCTTATATTGCTTTTAGTTGCATATTCCGCCAAACTTGCCCTTCCTATATTTTTTCTGTGCTTTTATCTTGCTTTCCTCGCGTTTTTATTAGTTGTTAGTAATTGTTCCGTGAAAGTTACATTTCTGTTTTACTGTGTCATAATCGCATACATTTCGAATGTCGCTGTAATTGTATCAGTTGTGACTTATTCCTAGGATTTATTCATTTTATCCCTCATTCAATTATGTTTATTCTAACCTGTAGCGCTGTAGGTGTCGCTGCTTGAAGACCTTCTTAGGTCCCTCGCGACTCCGGTCACGCAAAAACATGATTAGTACTGTAATTTATTCATTGTGTCACTTTATGTTTGAACATGTTTTTTTGTGATGACAAAATAAACGATTGATTGATTGATTGATCGTAACAATAGGATATGCGGGATAGGATTTCTATCTTGAGTGCAAATCCCAATCTTGGTATTGCGCATCAGACGAAGCATTGAGAATACTGGCCACTGCTAGTTTACCTTGTGTGGGCAAGTTCGAATCTCAAAAGAGTAAATTAGACCAAGGGTGCAAAACACGTGGCACGCGTGCCAAATTTAGCACGCCATACGCTCAAACGTGGCACGCAAATGGTTTTGTGAAAAAAAATATTTATAATATACTTTAAAATATCACGTTTATATCAAAATCAGCAGTTTTTTTCCAGGACATCAAATTGCTTCAATAAAAAGATATTTGTTATTATGTATTGTTATTGCAATTTGTTTGTTTTACTGAAGTTAATTTACAGTACCACAATTGTGCGTGGCACCCGACAAGATTATTTTAAAAAAAATTGGCACTATCCTAATTTGAAGTGTGCACCCCTGAATAAGATGATAGACCATTGATGGACTTCTTGTTGCTATAGGGGGGTTTAAGTAATTGTTACTTTGTCTTATCAGCTTTTCTATTTTCCGGAAAAATTATGTAAATCCGATCCTATCCTACTTCACCAACTAGTGCACTAAATTGGGTAGACAATGCTGAACTGTGAAGGTTCTATCAGCCCATCCAAATAATTTAATATTGTTAAATATCAGTGGTTGATGTTTTGTAGCAAAATATGCAAATGAGTGCGAAAAAAAAATTCATCAGACGCAATCATATTAAGCAACTTCTAATTTTTCGGCAAAAAAAAACAAAAATACCACTTTATATCCAGTTTTTCATTGAGGAGGTTGTGCAATTAATATCAGCTGAATCAAAATAGACAGAGATTTTATTGAAAAACTGGACCCCCTGCAGTATGCGCACCAAGATGGCGCACAACCTGAACATAGTATGTGTGTACCAGTTAAGATTCAGGATGTAGGACATCTTGGTTTGCATACTTCTGAAGCACCAAAAAAGTTTGGGTTGTATATATATTCCAAGTAATAGTTAGTTTATTCTCCTAGCTATTCACATTGAAATATAAATTTGGGATAATAACTCGCAACAGTGCTTCTCTTCGATAATTGGTTCCCAATCTTTTATAGCTCGTAACCATCTTTTTGAGGCTTTCAGCCAGGGGTGTAGCCAGGAATTTTCGATGGGGGGGAGGGGGGAGGGTCTGAAATTTATATTTGCCATGCTAGATCAAAACAGCTAGAAATGCCGGAAAACATGTATTCATGAGTCTACATCAGGGTGGTCCAAACCCAGGCACGCAGGCCACATGTGGCCCGCCACATCATTATCTGTGGCCCGCCTCGCATTCGGAGAGGAATCAAAAAATCGCATTTCGTGTTGTTTCGTTATAAAATTAACCAAAAAATCTTTTGACATATTGTTGCATCTCTAATGTCACTGAATTGACTAGTCTGAGGTAACTAGCGAAGTTAAACGAGAAAAGTTCTTGGCACTATTGTGGCCCGCGAACAATGCAAAAGTAATTTTGTGGCCCGCGGAGCTGCCAATCTTGGACCACTCTGGTCTAGATGGTCTAAAAAATGTTTCAAGCCACGAAAAATTGCCATGTGTGATACAGACATATGCCTTTATTTTTTTTACATTTTAAAAACCACTCCCCTGGCTACGTCCCTGCTTTCAGCACTCATGACCAGTGGCGTAGCATCCACCCCCGCAACCCCCGCAGTCGGGGAGGGCCCACAGTGCAAAGGGGGCCCAAGCGATTAGAATTTAGAAATTTGAGCCGCAAAACCAAAAGTTGCATTGCAAAACCAGTAATGCACATCTTATAACGTTGATGATAGTTCTGCTCAAATTGTTTTATTACGTAACAATGCCAGGAAGTCGTCGATTTTCGGCGTCTTGTGGTTTGATCGCACCGGCAAAATTACGAAGGCTTTCAGAATGATGTCGAAGACAAAATTTCTCAGGGGCGCACAGAAACGCAGAAAAAGGGCAGAAGAGTAAGCACGTATGAAAAAAAATGTAAAGTAACCAAGATAAACGGCAAATTTTAGGTTACCATTGCCTTTTTATAGCGACATGTTATGCTTTTTGATGAAATAAAAAAGCTATGTTTTAGCTTATGTTCGAGAGTTTTTAGGGTCATTTCCATGAAATATTTTTGCGGGGGGGCCCACGAGAGTCTTGCTACGCCACTGCTCATGACCCCTGTTTATCATTTCAGTAGTTTTTATAGTGTTATTATGATTGGGAGGTTCCAAACCCCATTATGTTCTGACAATTCAAGTTCGACAAAGTGAAAACACTTAGTAAAATAACAAGTAATAAAACTGGGAAGAACAAGGAGTTTGACGTGAAGTGAAAGTAAAATCAGTTCTGCTTCTAGCATTGCGACCCCAACAAAAGGCCACGAGCCATCGTGTGGGAAACCGCTGTCTTAGATACTTACATTGAAATATCAGTTCGGCATAATTACTGGCAACAGTCCCCTGGTCACTCTGTATGATACACATGTATTTGCCCATATCCTCTGCCTGTGGTTCCGTAATCACAAGTGTGCCATCAATCAACTTGAGTCGTCCTGAAAATATATTTAAGATTATTTCATAATTTTGTGGATGTGCTTTTTGATGTTTTCTTCGATTATGTTTATCTTAGGATAAATATGTGAATCCTAAACTAGGGGACAGTATGTTATCCAGCTTTCAATTTTAGGTGGTATATATTTTACTTAATTTATTACTGTATTTGACTGATCATGTTCACAGGCATAGGAGCCCCTTTCTGGATATTCCTGTTAACTTGTGTGTTCTTATATACATTTTATCCGGTGACCGTACATTTGAACCCACGTACATTCGAACCCATGCGTATATCCACGGGTTCAATCTATATGCGGGTGCTAAAACCCATGGGTTAGGGTTAGTATGGGTTCAACTATCCGAAAAACAAAAAAAATTCCAGGTGCAATAGCATACAGGTGCAATTGTCACGGGTTCAAATGTACGTGGGTTCAAATGTAATGGAACCATTTCATCCAGGTGATTGTCATCCTGAGATAACTGTACTTTAATTCTATTCTCACTCTTTAACTGACTAATGGCAGCGCAGCATGATGATATGGCATTGTGGGTAAAACCACTGAAGCATGCTTCCTGGGTATAAATACTGCCATGCTGGTCTCCAGAGGTCATTCAGTACTTTGGTGTAACAGAGGCAACGTTTGTCTTATGTCTAACTTTATATTTCGTTATTTGTGGTGACAACTAATCTGTTTATGTTAAGTATTGCTTGTGTTCAATAAAACATTAATTTACACCAATAAACAATTCCAATATAATTTTATTTAAGGTAAAAAAAGGTTTGGTGTCAAACCTCAATTTAGGGGGGTGTTCATACCCTATATGGGGGGTAGAGAAATCACTGGGCTGCGATAAGTCAGAAGGTGGGTCAACAAACTCGCTTATCTTAAACTGAGATACAGGTGGGGCCATAGGGGTAAGCCTCTCTGGGCAGCACGCTGTAGGTGTTTATTGCTTAGTTTGATGATTTATTAAATAATAATATTAAAAACATTTCACTCGTACTTGACTCGTAATTTATTCAATCACGTGTAATTATAGTTTGTTTATCCCACGAATTATTACTTATAGGGTATTTGTCTGTCTGTTAGATACACGCGATATCTCACGAAAGCGAGGTTGAATCTGCTAAATTTTGCATGTGCATTCATCATATCTCAGATCGGAAGCCTATTAATTTTGGATGAATTATGTGGTATAATTAGCGAGTTATCAGATAATTAGTGATGGGACACGCGGTGTTGCTATGGCGTTAAAGCCAAGGATACACACCGCTAGATCGATAAGTCGGCGGTCTCTGTTCGCTATCTTGTTTTTGAAGTTGGTATTATTATTAGAAACCACGTCTTAGGCATCAGAAAAGTTTGGCATACCCCTGAATCCCAATCATTACATGGGTGTAACCATAGGCACGGTGGTGTAGCTCATCGTGCTAAGCATTAAGAACACGATTGCCACTACACCTCTGATATTTCTGCATGGGTTCGAATCCCATACGAGGATAGTTATGTGCAAGAGGATTGCTGGAATAAAATCCGGCGCTCCGAAAGTATGTGTACCAAGATGACGCACAACCTGAATCCTAACCTGGTACACATACTATGTTCAGGTTGTGCGCCATCTGGATACACATACTTCGGGAGTATCAGAAACCCCTCGTATCCTACCTTCAATTGCTATTTCAACACCATTCTTTTTCCAGGTGTATTGAGGATTCGTCAGTTCTTTTCCAGCTCTGCAAGGAAATGTGATATCCGCCGTTGACGACATAGGAACTTTTTGCGTTTCCGGCAGAAGTGAGAATACATCAGCTGAAAAGGGAATATTTTTATATTTGTGCCTATTCACGAGAGCGTAGCCGAACCTTATTTTTTTGGGGGGGGGGGGGGTAAATCTCTGTTGAATACATGAAAAGGTGTTTGAAATATTAGGGGGGGTGTTTGAAATATTGGTAGGAGGTTCAAAATTTTAGGGGGTCCCTTGAAATTTAGGGGAGTCTTCAAAGGGGGGTGATAGAGGTCTAATTTTTGTTGTATAACGACATTTACTATTGCCATAGCGACTACTGTTATCTAACAATAACTTAAAGAATCTCCTTACAGACTTACTTGGCTGTCAAAGTTATTCAAGGCATACAAGCGCATTTTCATCTATCTCGATTGGTTCAGTTATTGCAAGGATTATTATAGCAAGCCAGGTTAGTTTTCAGTAAATCATTCAAGAATAGAGTAAAATGGTGTTGGAAACAGCGTAAGGATTTATGTCTTAATACAAATGCTGTGCATTTAAGAAAAAATATTGGAAAATTTTTTTTTGTGGGGGCCTCATCAGCCAACGCCAATGCTTCTCGCTCTGAACAAGACAATATGCAAAAGGTCACTGATATGAAAAGGGCTATTATCATCTCGGGGGATGGCATTCATTGCGGCATTCATTGCGGATTGGCATTGAGAGGCCAATTCAAATATTCTCTGGATGTGGTGGGGTAAACGAGTAGATACTTGACGTTGGACAGTGATTAATTCTTTGCCGGGCCATGGATGTTCGCCATTGTTGGGCCTGTGATGCAAACAACGGTTTGCCATGGTTGTGCTGACGTGCGCTATCTGGGTAGCTTAAATTTTTTTTTTTTTTGGGGGGGGGGGGTCCATATTTTGCTTTTCTGCATCGCACATCCAATTTATTATACTCTGGGTGCGGTGGGGCAAAGGAGTAGCCATTTTTTTTTTTGGGGGGGGGGGGTATGACAAACAAAATCTGGTTAAAATTACATGCCCACCACCTCATCCAGGTTTCAAATTGTGTAGGCAATACAGAAACAGAAAGGTGTTTGTCTTCTTAAAAAATATAGTTGCTATTTACTATAATTAGACATCGGTGGCCATTCGCGCAATGCCGTGTGTGGTGTGATAAGCGTGTAAAACGGTAACATTCTGGCCTTCTGATGGTTAGTAGTTTATTACTTATCATTAGATATCAATGTGAGCTTGTTAGGAAACATGTGTGGATTGGTAGTCTGCACAACCGTAACATTTTGGACCTCTCAAAGTTAGTAGATCAATACATTAGATAGGTAGGGCGCTTGTGCAATGTCTTGTTCAGGGCGAAGAACATGAACTCTCTTGAGCTTTTTGTGGAAGGGTGGGCGTTTTTTTAATACCGTATTTGTCTGGCCCTCCAAAAGTTAGTAGATATCAGTTGCTGACTGTAAGCAGCCTTTCGCCATTCGCTTGATTTAACTTCGTAAGATAATAAAAAAACATAAAAGCGTCATAAGTGTTTGATAAGTTGTCAACGTGTTGTTTGCTTCACATCGCTCACGCATGTTAATGTTTAACTTATCATGTGCGCAGTGTTCCCTCTAAGATAAGGTGTGCGCACGCACACAGCTTTCAGAGGCTGCGCACACGCATAGATTTTCGCGCACAGACGTATTTCGATGTAATGTAACAATGTTCTTTTTTCACCCTTTATATGAATTCAAATAAAACCATCTGTTACAATCAATTTCATTTATTATATTCCATGTATGTTCATTGTTATCTACTGATAACATATAGCATTCACTAAAGCATTTACAATCTATAGAAAAACTTATGGAATAACCAAAATTTTCTAAATAAGCCCACTCATTGCCCGGTTAGAACGTCAAAATTTCTTCATTGGTTTTTGCACAAATATTAGCCATTTCCAAAAAAGTGCGCACACACCAAAATTTCTGCGCTTACATACTACAAAAAATTAGAGGGAACATTGCATGTGGGCATTTATCGCGAAAAATAAGTCTGGCGTTACAGGGATATTTGAGTTGTGTAAACACCGTAAAGATTAGTTTATTTGTATTTCGCAATGTAGGTCGTATTTGTAATATTATAGAAAGGGTTGAGTTAAATAAAAAAGGCTTGCGACACAATTATTTCTTATATAAGGTTAAAATTCCGTAATGAAGGCGACACTTCAAAACTGCGAATCTTTTGTACAAAGCCCCGTCAATGATGATAAAATGTATGATTTGAGAAAAAACCCTCGCCGCGTGGGGGAAGAGACTAAAATTACGTTGGTTCGTTCAATGTCGCACAACCTTCTCCATGTCAAAATAACGTCACACGACATTGAAAAACAATTTTCAAAAATTAATCACACTGAAAATGGATCAGTCACTCATATTGTTGTATATGGGGGGATTGAAATGGGGAAATTCCCTATACCGGGGACTCAATGGGCTCGATGAAATTGAAGTCACTTGATCTTGGATGAATATGGAATCATTTTGAATTAAAAATTACGACCTTCCGATCACCCATAACCCTAACCCTTTGCCCCGAAAGGACGAGATTTAAAAAATGTGTATTTTAAATTTTTGAACTCATTATTGAAAGTTTTGAGTTTTTGTTCAAACTTCAACCTCCGTTAATTAATGCCATTATTTTTTGGACTATAGACGAAACGTTTAGCAGCGCCTCACAGATTTTTGGCGGCTTTTCACGGTTTTTGCAAGTTTTCAATGTTTTTTTTAAATTAATTATTTCAAAATTTCAACCTTCGATCCTTTGTCTTACAGCCCACGAGTTTCATTGACCGATTCCTAAATCCAGCTGAGTAAACCACGCTTTAATGTTACGAACGGAAGTCGCGATTATTTCTTAATAGAAAGGAAGACGGGAAAGTAAATATAATAAAACTATTTCTTCATAGGGACGAAGTACATTCTGCGTAACCGAGCTAACACGGGGAATTCTTGAAGCGTATTTAACGACTGATGGGCGCTGCTCACTCTTATTATTTGGTAGTTCCTTCCACAAACTTTTTTATTATCATTTAATTTTTTGTGCAGTTGGGATAAAGGGTCCTCGCTTTTACATCTGGGAAAACTATAACTCGGAATTTCAAGTTTTATTGGGACTCGCTTGACCAGTGACTTGACTTGGATAACAAATTACAGGGGCATACCCATGAGGGGTTGGGCTGTCTGAACCCCTTTTGGTATGTAAAAAAATCATACATACCAATTTTTTCGAAGCTTGAAACAACCATTAGAACCTCAAATCTCATGAAGACATACGTTTTCCGCATCGGGTTGGGAGAAAAATGAAACTTTGCAATATTTTTCACTTACCTTTACTGAGTGATATGTCTAGTATGAATATTAGCATCACCAAAGCAGTGAATCCCATCTTTATCCGCTTCATTCTGATTAATATGTGTTATTTAACTATTAGAATAAAGCCTGTAAAAAAGAATAATTGTAAGATTTAGCTGCGAACAAGGCGCTGAGCAAGGCGTGGTCTCTGCTACCGTGAATTGTTTTTTTCTGATTGCCATCTTTTGTACAAAGCCCCACTACTATTGCAAAAATGTGATATTTGAGAAAAGCACCCCTACACTTAATTATCTACTATTTCAAATACGAAGCTTCAGAAGTCTGTGTACCAATACCAAGGTAACTAATTTTGTTTGCCTACTTTACATTAAGTTGTGTAAAAGGACTTAAACCTATAGGCGGTGGGTATATTCACTTGGCTAACACAGACAGTCCCCGAACTCGTTATAGAACTAAAATAAGGAAAATCGGAATAAAATTACACCCTAGCCTGGTACACATACTATGGGAGTACCCTTCAACTTAGTAATTGCCCTGGTATTTGCCTAATTGTGTAATGTGTGCAAAGTCGTTTAATCGCGTCTTTCCACCCCCGCCACCTCTGAGTCAGTTTCGCGGTTTTCGGACCAAGTAAATATTAAAATAATAATAAACAGAGTCAAAGAAAAAGCCATCAGATAACAGTGTAGTATCTAATCTTCTTATATGCTTAGATCAGCAGGTCCCAAAATGTCGCGTGGAGACAAATTAATACGGAAAAAACTCACGACGCACTTACAAAAAAAAGAATTGCTGCCTTCAGATAAAAACCCCCCAAGCTCTTCTCCGGCCATACCCGCTAGCTGATACTGATACTTGGCAATCAAAAATTTCACTACTGGCTTCCCTACTTGCTACACCCACCACTGATACCGCCACTGATATACCATAAATGGAATCAAAAGACACATATCAAAAAAACGGTGCTCCCGAAGTATGCGAACCAAGATGGCGGACATCGGAACGTAACATGGGTAACAGGTTAGGGTTAGGCGATAATTTTTTTCCAATTTTCCTTATTTTAGTCCTATTATCAGTTCGAAGACTAGCCAATAGCCTCCCGTAGTATTTATACCTAAAATTATGGCCTAACCCTAACCTAGTACACATATTACATTCCGATGTCCGCCATCTTGGTTCGCATACTTCGGGAGCCCCAAAAAAACTGATTCTATAAATTTTAAATATTTTAACTTTTACAGACTCTGTAAACACTCTATAACCAAGCCATTACACCCAAAAACTGTAAAGCATCGCGTTGGTAACACTCGATCTGGCCTTATTTGCCTTTTCTTTGTCATAGTGATAAAAATAGTTGAAATTAAAACGAATTTCGCAGTCATTAAAACTGACTTGTTACAAGCATATTATCGGATTTAGCTATGGCGGGTATCTAGGTAGATATAAGGATGGGGTTATATTTTCCTATTGATTCCGGGGAAAGAAGAGCCGATAAGATTGCTTAATCAGATGGCGTATCACGGTGTCTCTTGTTCAATTAACAGGCCTATGTAATCAGTAACTTATTGGACACGTAGTGGACATAGCGATCGTTTCAATATTATGCTGTTGTTGTTGTTGTTCTTATTATTGTTGTTCTTAGTGTCCTTGTTCTTTGACACGTTTTCAAAAAGTCGCTTTTCTCTTCGAATACTGGACCAATTGCTTTGAAATTTTCAGTGGTTGAAAATAAAATTTTTCCCAGAAGGCTATTACTTTTATCCATTTTAAATATTTCTGTTAGCTCTGTGAGATTTGTTTTTGTTTGCTATGACGTCATTAAACGTTCTACGGACATCGGACGCCGTTTTGTGTCCTACTGTACTGCTTCGCTTGGTGTGAATATATTTGTAGACTGTGATCTGACGGTACGGTAAACCGTACTGTACTGCGAACAGACGTGTCCATATATTTGGGCGTAGCTCTCTTCTTTCTTTCCCACACTGGAAATACGCACTGTACTATACATATATAAATAAATTTTAAAAAAAACATAAAATTTCCCCCTTCAGGTTTAAGGGAGACGTCGAAAACCAAAAAAGCAATAGGTACGTCAAGGTGACCTGGTACACCAAGCAGTCGCCGTTTCAATAAAGGAAGTGATAGAATAGAACTTACATATATCCGACGGTGACCGTACATTTGAACCCACGTACATTTGAACCCATGTGTATATCCACGGGTTCAATCTATATGCGGGTGCTAAAACCCATGGGTTAGGGTTAGTATGGGTTTAACTATCCGTGAAACAAAAAAAATTCCATAGGTGCAATAGCAAACAGGTGCAATTGTCATGGGTTCAAATGTACGTGGGTTCAAATGTAATGGAACCATATCCGACAAGACGGCTTAATCATATGGCGCACTGCGACGTGATGTGATAACCCAAATGATGAGCAGCACGACAACTCTTAATTGTTGCGGCGCAATGCACCTCATCTATCCTTCTGGCTCATTAGTTATATAGTCGTGTTAACATGTAGACGCTTGTATATGGTCACTGTTTAAAGTGGTGCCGCTGTTCTCAAAAAACGGAGTCCAGTTGAATGCGAGTTTCTATTCTGAGCAAATAGCAATTAAGCAATCTATTAACTATAAGAAGACACGATTGGAGCCCCTCGCTTCTCGTCCGGTTACCAGTCCATGTATTGGATTAGTTAGCCACCTTTCAATATATATAACCAACTACTAACTCAAATAGCAAAGACGTACGTCATTTTCTACGTGGAATATTATTCAACTCGGATAGAATTCAACCCTAACTTCAATAAGAGGTTTTTTAAACGCTCTCTCGTGGCTGAAAGAACAACCTAGACCGTTGGTTCTCAAACCGCGGCCTGCGGGCCAATTAAGGCCCGCGTAACGATTTAATATGGCCCGCCGAACTTAAGTAAACTAGTTCAACACTCAATGTTTTTATCATGTTGCGTTCCAGTTACCGTCAGTTGCTACGTCGTAACAATCAATTCAAATATACCGGTACCGGTACTATAATTATACATATATATCGGTATCGGCTCGTTGCGGGCGCTCTCCTGGCCCGCGAATATTCTTCGGCTTCTAACTTCCGCCCCCAATCAATCAACTTTCGGAACCCCTGGCCTATACTTAATACCCTCTCTAAAATGAACCTACGCGAAGACATTTATATAAGTCATCAAATAGGGCGTCACATCTGTGACACATATATCAATGATTATTTTAGTATTTGTTCAATTATGTAATGTATACAGTTTAGGTGAGGCGTCCATAATGAGTCAACATATATTAAAATACATTTTTGAAATAATATTTTTAAATATGGAATATGAAATCTATTCTAAATTGGGTCCCGCCCAACAGAGAACGACGCACAGATGTCAATCTATATTCATTTAGTATAAAAATATGTGCTTATGGCTCGGTTACGGCTTCATCCACCATCAAGTCCACGCATCTGAAACAAGTAACTGACTAACTAACCCCATACCCAACATGTACAGGACGCGAGGCCGTGGTTCACCATATGATTAAATCATCTTAAAATGATAAATATGTAAATCCTATCCAATCTACATTCAATTATCTTGAGTGATTTAAGAGTCTTGCTGCACACTAACACAAATATATCTCTGTAAGGTTTCGTCTAACCAAGGTCAAACTTCCTCAGACAAACATAGTTCAACAGTATTGAATCACTTAGGACAGGGGTGTGCAACAGGCGGCCCGCGGGCCACAACCCGGCCCGCCAAGACAATAAGTGTGGCCCTTGTCAACATTCAGATATTTTCTCACTAAGCATCAAATTCTAACCTGACAGTTTGTTTAAAAAAGCGCACACACGGGTCAAAATCCATAATTTGAAGTCTTTCGTCTTTTTGTCTTTTTGTTTTTGTCTATTGATTGTGTACACGAAAGATATTGAATTTTTGAATGGCCCAGCTAGATGTCAGAAGTTGTTTATACGGCCCGCCGACAAAAAATGTCGCACATCCTTGACTTAGGATATTTATCTTCACTCTGGCTACAGCATCCTTGCATTATATGCATACGAATCCACCGGCGCAAAAGAAGGATAAGGAGTAAGACCTGCAGAAACCAAATCGTTAGCATATATTCAATTAGTTTGAAAATATGTGCATATGGCTCGGCGGTGTGGCGCATCGTGCTAAGCCTTAGGAATACGCTTACTGCCGTACCTCTGATTACCCTGTGTCGGCTCGCAGGTTCGAATCCCATGCGGATATAATTATGTGCGAGAGGATTGCTGGACACCTCGCTAACGCTGGTCGGCTATGGCTTCCTCCGCAATCAATCCCATGCATCTGACACAAATACCTGGCTAACTAATCTCATACCCGACATGGACTGGTAACCACACGAAGGAAATGGGTTTAAACGGGTTGTAACCACTGCTTAAAAGTAATATACTGTGGGTGATTCCTAAACCTCGATAATACGTCAAAACTTCGTGTACAATGCGACCGAATGTCCGATATAGCCGTGGCGCACCCTTTGGGAACCGCTGCCTTAGAATATTTATTCTCCTCCGTGCCCTTTCTCAACGTTAATTTTGGCATATCGACACTTACATGAAAATACAAGCGTAGTATACCTTCGGCGATCGATCTTAAACTACTAATGCATGTCTGACACAATTTTCGGCATTCCAAGGATCAGCGACGAATTCCTAGCTCGAAAACCGTCCCTTGTCCATTCGTGTACCAAAGATACTGCGAGAGTAAAACAACAAGTCGGCATATTCACTGCGTGTTGTAGTGAAACATGACGAATGTCAGTATTTGAGTAGCGGCGCAAGAATTCGGACGCATTTCATTCAAATAATATTTATCAGTTCGTATGACGTCTAGTTTGGCTTTGCTGAAGAACTGATAAATGCCCACATATGTCGCGTAATACTGATTTTAAGCTTTCTTTCTTAAGCTTTCTTTTCTAATTAATGCTCGCAGTAACTATAAAATTCGGAATTGAAGCCGTCGCCCCAAAAGTATGTGTACCAATAGTGACGTAACTAATTTTGTTTGCCTACTTTGC